TAGAGCAGTGCGACCTAGAGAACCGTGTATGGTGCACATTCGTTGTTGCCTCTAGGTTTAATTTAATCTACAACAGCCCAAGGTCGACGCCATCCCGACGACAAGCTCCAGCAATCACTTAGAACACTCTTGTGTGTCTGCGTGCGTGTGCATGTCGTGGATCAAGCTTGGCATCGTCAAAACGGCACATAGATAAACGACCATCTGATGATCTGCCAGCAACGAAGTGTGCGACTTTAAAGTTCGGAAGCATTCATTCCATGACAATAAGCCCTTTGTCGGACTCATCACGATGGCTTTTGGCCCTTTCGTCAGAATTCTCGTTGCTCGGTTGGTTGGCACGAGAGCACACAGGCAAGGATTTGCAAAAAAGACTGTCGCTCAGGCTCGGATTGGAATGGTTGCTGGTGGAGCAATCGGACGGGCAGTGCCCGCGCAGTGATGTCCCAGACGCGGATTTGGAAGTCGCACCCGGCTGCTGAGCTTGAGCAGGTACTGGAAGCATACAAGGCCGGGTTCGTGATGGTAGGATGTGTCAAGTGCTATCAGCCGGAGTCACAGCCTCGCAGGAGGCAGCAGCTGGACGAGGAGCTGCCGCGGCCGCAGCACAGAAGATTGCCAGGAGGCGAATGTCTTTGGACGAGGCAAAGAAGGCCCGGTGCTGTTGATTGTTTCCCCTGTGAACTTTATCAAGAGCTTGCCGGCCCGGAGGTCTTGGATGCAGATGGTGTAACAAGCCGTTCACAAATCGAGGCAGCCTGAATGTAGAACTTATTCTTGTCTGAATTTACCAAAAGGCGTGGTTTGAACAACTTCTGACAGTATATTCACTCACAGGCAAGACCCTCGGAGATGTGATGCCACTTCTGCCATCATGTCAAGGGTTGTCACAAGGTCGTGTCATCGGCAGACAATCATCGTGTTTCTCGCGCATGAACAAAACGGGTCCATACAATGTTGTTGGACTATTGAGTTGCTTGTTCGCCTAGACTCGTGATGCCGGAGTCCACGTTTCCAGGAGCGCTTCCAGACATTGCACTCCTTGAACGCTCCTTCGGAGGAATCCGGATGGCGTATGCTTGTGTCAGCGTGTTTCAGGAGCGCATGAGTCCATTGTGCTCCCAGCGTGCAAGGAGTGTCCAGGCTCACCCTACTTGCAAGATCGAATAGCCGCAGCGCACAAGGCACGAGCTTCAGTGTCGATGTCAAGGGTCATGCAGCTGTATCTGTTTCGTACTTCAAGACCCTGACCATTTGGCTGCGTGATGTGCTCCACGTACATTGGCTTATCATCAGCTGTTCTGGCAGTTGACACTGATTCTGTCATGCCGAGAGGATTTCGCACAGATCGTGTAGGATTTGATTAGTCATCTTTCCGATTGTTGCTGCCTGTTTTTCTTGTCTTTTGCCGTGTGTCTCGGAGCCAGGTGGTGCTGGAAAACTTGGAGACGTCCAATCCCAGTGGACAGAAGGTCGGGAAACAACACATGTGATTGGCAGTTGCGAGACTGCTCTAGTTCTTCAACGCATTGGTGAGAAGTGCAGCTGCACGAAGTTGGGCACCAGTTGTTAAGACATTCCAGGCCAAGCCCCCTGAAGAGTGATCCTGTGACCACCTCTGACCTTCGCATGTGCGGTTTGACTTGCGGTGACATATCTCAAACGGGTCTCGCGCCACTGTTGCGTCCGTTGCCCAGTGTGCAGGCTGCCTTTGGTTGCAGCGATTTTTTGGTCGCAGTTGTTTGTATGCAACGGTTGGAGTCATCGTCAAAAGGTCGTCGGCAAAGCTGATGCCAACCCCAAAATAGACAGAAGTTGCTCGCTTAGGTGCTAGGATTCGTCATATCCCACAGACTCTTTTGGTCTCACTCTACGATGCGGGCGACATGCACAGTTGCAATGCTGGATGGTTTTGATTTTCTGTAATATCCCCGTGCTCCTCGAGCACTGTCGCCTCGCATGGACCGACATTTTCATCAGGAGCTCATCTCCAAAAAGTGAAAACTGCTACAGTGGTGCTTGTGCTCGTGTGGTTGTTATTCTGATCACGTGGCAGCTTCCTCTTTCGGCACAGGCCCAGCACATGTTGGACAGGCCCCATAGCCATGTGTTCATGACGTCTTCGCATATTCAGGTACAAGAAGTTATGCCTTAAGCACCAGCCAGCATCTATGCGCCTGTGAAGATAACAGTCGTGTGGTTGTAGATATGTCGGCCTCATGAATCCTGCCGAAGCCCGAGGACATGGAGGCAAGTCAGTGTTTTTGACAGAGCCTGCTCTCCTGCCCAGGCTTGAACTCTCCACGAATGGCTCCCAAGAAGGACAGCATGAAAATCCGACAAACGCGAGCGCAATGTTGTCTTCCGGTTAAGATGATGACGTCTCATGGTGGTCGAAGACATGGATTCCGATGGATTCCGGCAGGACAAGAAGAAACAGAACGAACCTGTTCAGCCGGAATTGGTCACTGCATACAAAGCACGTTGGGCACTCAGGGTTTGACGGGGCTGTGGAAAGATGGCAAATGAAGAGCAGTTCGCAGGCGAGCCCCTCCCGCCGATTGAGCCTCCCGATGTATCGGAGGTGCTTGGGCTAGCCGCTTGCTTGCGGTGAGTTTCTTCACTTCGTCCAGGTGGACGCTCAGTGGAAGGCCTTGCGGGACCAGTATGCGGCTGGCTAAGCATCCGATCGAAAGACTGTGCAGGTAACAATCAATTCCGACTTACATCCCGGTCTTAAACATCCCGCAGTTGGGCTGTAGTTCTTGTGATGCTGATTCCATGAGGTCCAGCCACTTCCAGCTTGGAACTCTGAGCTCGTCGACACCACTGAGTGGAGGACTGCGCTTTGAGTGTTTTTATGGAAAACTCAATAGTCATCTATGTGCGACCACTTGGTGATTTGTGCGGGTGAAGGCCAAACGAAACAGAAGATGCTTTCGCCAGCAATCAGTTTCCGTCTCAGCAAACTGATATGGGCGTGACTGTGGCGAGACGAGCTGTTTGCCTCATTGCCATCGAGTCTCTCGTAGGTTTTCAGTCTTCGCCATGCCACGAAGTTTCGCTGCACTGGCCGCAAGCTGAGGGGGTTACTGCTTGTGCTATGATCTGTTGTGAGTGCTGTGCAAGGTTGCCGGCTGGCGGCGAGCGGGTGCGTCTGCCTGTGGCACAGACGTGTAATCTTACTGATTTTTTTAAGCCCTGTTATTTGGCTTTCGAATCGGATGATTCGCATCTTCTTGTCCTAGTCCTAAGGCCTTAGCAAAGGGGGAGCTTCTTCCAGAGGCCGGACGAGATGGGGATGACAGGCGGAGGGCATCATGAAATGAAGAAGATATGATTTGCATCATTTATACACATATATATATATATGTATATAGATACTATATACATATGCACGACTGTCCCTGATCTTTGAGATGCACGAGCTTCTTCCATTTAGGAATTATGGACAAGAGCTCTACTATCCAGTATCACTAAATATTACAGCTCTGTTGCTTTTTCCTTTTCGAAATGTTGCTTGTATGTGCGTGCAAGTGAATTGTGAATATGTTTCGGGAAGATCATACAGTCGAATGGTATAGTTTAGTTCGCTTGGCTTGAGAGAAATTGAGAGAAAACTCAATGCCTAAGCACAAAGCGATACATTGAACAGACAAGTACTTTATTGGGCTGTCTTTTCGTTTATCACAAACAGAGGAAACATGCAGAACCCATCATTTCAAGATGCTCCCTCGTAACCGGAACCCCAATAAGACTTCCAAGCAATAAACATGTGTGTACACATATAGCATGTAGACATATTCTTCGGATGTAGGATCGTCAGACTTGGATTTCGGCTTTAGGGCATACGATTGTTCGATCTAAGTAAGCGTCGCCCACCGAGAATCATGAAAGCTAGCATCAACGGGGGTCCGGAACATCATGACATCGATGTCGTTTGCACAAATCTCGTGCCTGCTACTCCTGCAAGCCGCAGGCCCGGTCCAGAAAGCCACTGTTCCAAAATTCAATCTTGGGAGACCACCTGTCCCGCAAGTACCTAGAGTTGCTGTTTTTTTGCGAGACAATGCATTCTATCGCTTTCCTGGATTCGATTTGGTGAGACGGTAACGTTTTGTGGCTGCTACTGTCCCAAACCACGCAAAACACCAGAAGATTTGACGGTCTTGTGTCTAGCCCCACAGTCGCCCAACCAGCTGGATACTGGCTGGGGCTTTTGTTGTCGCGATACAAAGCGTTTTCGTTTCTGTGGCTTCGATAGTATGGCCTTGCACTGCCAGAAAACCCAATGACAAAGCTCCAACATGCGATGCGGGCGCTTAGGCTTCAGGCAATTAGGATTTGTAAGGCTTACATTGAGGGTCCATGTGCCCATAATATTATAGGACCCCTTTCCGAAAGCAATGTTACCACTGTACCTTGCTGGCTAATCTGCCAAGATGCGATGGTGGTCTCTTTGGCACGAGACTGCTCTAGCATGCGGCATGAGGTGTCGAAAGTGCGATACCGCTCCAAAGAGTCGATCCCAAATTCCAAACATGCTCTACCGTGCCAGGAAACAAATTTCCTGTATCGTGGCTATGTCAGCATGTTGTGTTTCCGGGCTTTACTGTCCTTCGATACTCCAACTTTTACCCGCTGCATCTGCTGTCGCTTTCGGCTGGCATCGCAGGGTCAGAGAGTTCTTTCGATAGTGCACCCCTCCCCCCCCTTCCCCCGTCCCCCTCACCCCCAACCAAGCCCCCGGGTTAGGGTTTAGGGGTTTAGGGGTTTAGGGTTTAGGGTGTCGGGTATGTGGTTTAGGGTTTAGGTTGGAGGGAGGGGGGCGGAGGTGGGGAGGAGGGCTTCTGTGTCGAGAAGTGTGCTTTTTTGCGCACTCTCGTTCTTTCTGTCGTAACATCGAATGTATGCATATGTTTGTGCAGCTTTGTTGTGTACATGTATGTATATATGTGTGTGTATGAGCACACGCACACAAACCTGTACATTATGAATTCTTCTACATCTTAATTAGACAAGCTTTGCTTTCTGTATCTCTCTCTTTCTATGAGATGCTCGGTTCGAAGCAAGGATTCTTCATCTTTCAACCTAAAGTTGGAATATGACATGTGGGAGGACTCCTGAATCATAAGAAAGGCAAGCAGGATCAGTTCTGACAGAGAAGCATGGGAGAGCTCGGCTATGTCCAAATCATAAACGTTATTGTTCCACTATCTGCAAGGCGGAATGTAGGAGCGAAGAAATGAGCCAACTCTTTCAGAAGATTAAAAAAATTAGACACTCGGTTCGAGGATGGGGTAAGTATTCAGGTGATTTTTGTGCTGCGTGTGAGTTGCACAGGGCCGCCCAAAAACGCGTCTTGAAGCCGAGACACACATCTGGTTTTGCACTGGACAAATGAGGACTTGACAGAAGGCAAATAGTTGACATGCATATGAAATCACGTCGTAGGAGTACATAAGTGTGCCCAAAAGCGAATCATCGTCGTTATCACAATGAAAGTTGCCAAACTACTGATGAGTCTCGATCAGACCAGCTGAACTTCGTTGAGTAGAAAACTCTCCATTTAGAGTAAATTGAGTAAATGTGAACTTTCCTAGTTGTGCTACGCTGCTGGTCTAAACAAGCCAGCATTGACCGCACCAAATTCTGCATGTCTTTAAGAACCCTTTGTTGTGCCGGTTTAAACAATAGAAGTGATGGGATTGGTCATGACAGCGACAACTGTAGATAAGGGACATGTTTCCTGAAACAACCGACAACGTAGAGTATGGTGGATGGTTACATCACTTGCGACGACAACAGTAACAATATCAACAGCACAACAACTCAAGAACACAGTATAATCAGTCCTCAATTTTCACGAATTAGTAAATTGCTGCAGAGCACGACGTTTATGGGAGCAACATCATGACCATGAACAGGACGATAGATACGAAATTCAAAGGCAATTTTCTTACCAATTATAGTACCCCGCAGCTTGCTTTTCAAACTAACCACGTTTGTATGTTCCCCACGATGGTCTGTCGCCGGGGGCTGATTTATGCAAACACCCATGATATTTATTCGAGGCGCAGTACAAGTTGAATGTAGGTGGAACAAGCAGTCCAGAGATATCCTTCCGCATGCTCTGCCACATTGCTGTCTTTTCTTGGCCGGAAGGAGCCCGAGCCGCAGGCACAGAGTGGCCGTCACACAAGCACTGTTTGGACGTTCAAAAGCTGACAGGCCCAGCCAATTCCAGATTTGAAAGAAGAGCCTCCAGAACCGGTTCCGGACCGTGACAAAAGTGCTTTGTTCGTCGTGTGCGACAAGCCGCTTCCTTGGCCCCTTGTGCAGGACCCGAAAGCAAAGGCTAAACCCAAGGCAGGGAGGTTCTGTGCACGATTGGTGGCTTCAGGCTTGTGTATTTGTTTTGGTAGGCAGACACAAAAGCAAAGGCCAAAGCCAAGAACCAGCCAGAGGTGCTGGCAAGATCAAAGATAGGGCATTCATCTGACTTTTTCAGTTCTGAGTGCTTGCCTGTTGCTTGGAGGAGCCGCCTGAGAAGCCAACCACCATGCAGCCATCCTTGCCAGTGTTGCCTGAGACCCAACTGTCTGCATACACATGCACACAAGCTCCTTGGCAGGCAATATGCAAATTGCACATATGAGGGCGAGGCGACGTCAGCGCAGATCCTTGCAGATTTTTGTCAGGTTGCCCAATTGCTGAGCTCAGTCGCACGCTTGTTAGCCCCGGTATGGCTTTTGTCGTGTTGTGGCCCTTCGCATGGTCCGGTGAGATTGAGGGAGGCAGGGGGTGTCGGGGAGAGGAGGGGCGGGGGGAGTGGAGGGAAGAGGTGGGGAGGACAGGGGAGGGGAGGGAGGGAGAGGGAGGGAGGGAGATGGAGCGAGGGAGATGGAGCGAGGGAGATGGAGCGAGGGAGCGGGATTGTAACAACGACATCAGCAATCAGCAACATCTAACACCTGATGCAACTAGTCAGGCTGCGCTTCCGCTGATTTCACATGACCCATCTGAAGCTTTGCGATCTGCTCTGGGGCCAATCTCAATCATTTTGGGAATGGGCACGGCGAGGGAGCTGGAGGGGGAGAGGGAGGGAGGGAGGCATCGAGGCACGGAAGTAGCGAGTTTCATCGGCAACATGACGACCGTGCCGAGCGAAGTCTGCCTTGCATGCTTGATGTTGACTGAAGCAGGAAGTGCGCGTCTCATGTTCCATGAGAGAGCGTTTAGCATCTACCAGCCAAAATGCTTTGGTGAATCTGGTCTGTGAGGGCAGGCTCGCGGTGTATGGGGATTTTCTTCGACATGCAGTGCGCTCGTGCAAAATGGTAGACTGGAAAGGATTCACGGCTTGAACGTCTTTGTTCGATGTAGGCTCGGGTGGTCAGCCAGTCGGAATTCCGCTCACGCGAGTTGCTGCTCGACTTAGACGATGCTGCGCCGCAGCCTCATACTGGCAAGCGAGATGCGGTCCAGAGTCCAGAACATATTTGATGCACGAACAGCAGAGGCCACAGCTGAGTCAAGCAATCGCTTCTCAGTTTGCTGCTGTGGCCGAGCACAGACTTCTGCTGCCGGGAGGGTGCTTTCTGTGGGACAGACCCTGCTTGATTATCTGCTTCTCGCCCGATCCTGGCTTACGGTGGTGCATGGTGTTTCGTGTGAGCTCGACGGAGGAGTTGATACACCCACAAGACGAGGAAGGAATGCCGACGATCTGGCATGGCTTGCAAATGATGTCAGAGTCTGTAAGAGTTTCGGAGCATTCCGTACAGTTCAAAGGGCACTCGAATCTTCGGGTGTCGGTTCTTTCTTTTGGGATCCTGGCTATGCGAAAGCATGAGGCCTCACGAAGACTCGAGATTCGAGATCATGAGCTTCGGTTCTCAAGTGCCCCCTCTTCCCCAGAATAGTGCCAAGTCAGTGTGATTCTGCCCTCCCGGGTTGTCCCCAACCATTGCGCTCCAGGCTGTACAACCCACACGGAAAATACATTGTCAAGCTCTTCGTTCAGGGCAAGTGGAGACAAGCCACTTGACAGTAACGACGTTCTGTTGGGGCCAGGCTTGTTGCTTCGCCATCGACGGTTTGAGTGAGGTTCTCATCGATGACGTAGTTCCAGTGGGGTATGCGATGCATGGCAACAATACATATGCTGGGGCCTTATGGTTGCAGAGAGAAATGCAGGTCCAGACAAAAAGTGGTCGCATGTGGGACATACCATCATTCTAAGTGCCGCAATTGTCGACATCCTGCAGGCGTCGCTTCTTCCGTGCAGCCAGGATATCAACATCATTTGGCCACAGCTGTTGGCAAAAGCCCTGCAGCGGACCAAGCAAGCGTGAGAGCAAATCTCTGCATTCCGCTGGGTGGAACCAAGTGGCAGCCGGCCCAGGATCCAAGCGTTTCAGGACGATCTCAACATGCCGGTACTGTCCGGGAACTCAAAACTCCATTGTGATTTGTTGTGCTTCCGACCAGTAGAACTCCCGAGGCCATGCATTACCGCGCTCACGGGTTGGGTTCCCTACCAGCTGTCTTCCCGACAAGTTCAAAGCCGAATGCCTGTTCTCGCTTCGAAGTGTGAGATCAACGTCGCCGCCAGGCCACTCTCCTGGTCTGCTCTGCAAGGGCTGAAAGCTGTTCGGACTTTCTGCACATTGCAAACGAGCTCACAGGTCCAGCACAGCTCTGCAACCACGTCATAATTTGCTCACACTTGCTGGGATTTCCGTCCCTCGCCACTGTCACCGCAGGTTGATTTCGAAGCTCGCCAACGTGCTGAGTTGATGCCATCCATTCCCCAGGCAGAGGTCAGCCATTGATTAGCCAATGTCAGCCTGTCGAGTGCCCGGGCAGTCTGTGGAAGTGATGCAAGCAGCAAGGCCCAAGCTGGGCCTCGCAAATCCATCGCTGTACCCATGCAGGTCGGTGCTTTGCTTCTCAGAGAGAGCGAGAGAGAGATTAGAATGGGAGTTTCGCAGCTGCCAGGCCCCGACCTTTCCACCAGGACTCTGCATGTCCCGGTGTCCCGCTTTTCTTTTTCAAATTTACGTCGATGCTCCTGAAGCTTTGCCAGGTTGTCGAGACCTATCTGGAATGTATATAACAGTTTCGTGTTCTGGGTCATTCCTAGGTTGATGAAAGCTTCGGCTTCTGCGTCTTGGTATCCGAGTTCGAGGATGTTTGCACCTGCCGCTGCAACTTCTTTCAAACTTCGTTGCGCAGCTGTGAATCTATCGGTCGCACCTGCGTCAAGGCTGTTAAACATACACTGGGGACAGTTCATGTCCCGAATATTTGCGAACATCACGGCATCGCGGCGCTAGCAAACTCAGCTGATGGAGAACATCGAGGATCAGAGGATGGGGACATGCACAGCCCATGGGGCTAGCAGTGGCAACCAAGGCACTCAATCCTTCCTCCTGCCCGGATGGACAGTGCCCGGAACATGCCCAACTTCTGTTCAGCTGTCGCTCGCGAAGTTGTTATTGGGGCATTTTTGGTGCTTGGAGCAATGTTGGAAATGCTCTTTGATTGGAAAACCGTATATTGTTGGATACATTCGCTCCAGCACACAGCAGATATTCTTCGCATAGGAAATGAAAGCCTTTCAACAAGAGTCTCAGCAAAGCTTTCCCAGGAGCATTCACGAAACTACACTTGGAAGCCGACGCGAGGAAGTCTGCTGGAAAGCCTCGGTGACAGAGGCCTAGAGCCTAGGAAGGCGTCTGCGAGGAGGCGAAAACGGGACGGCGTCCAAAGACCGCAGCAGATCGGACCGAGAAGCGAAAGATCTTTGGCTTGGGGGCCCCTCGAACAGAAAACATGTAGAGTACTACGGTACAGCTTCAGGTCAGACAGCTCAGACTGGCCAGGACAGGAGCAGAACCTGAAGTTGGGAAATCAGCCACAGGAGGCGCAATCGACGATTGATGTGGCGCTTGCTGACGGCATGCCACGCAAGGCTTTGCTGGAGTTTCTCGTCTGTGAAACGGAAGAAGAACCACGACAGGCGGCGGTCATTGACATGGCATGTCTGACTCGCGGATGGGGATCTTGTGGCCTTCAGGTGCGGCTAAAGGCGGACGCCTTTGTTCCTCAACATGGTGCCTTGTCCCGGTGGTCTTACTCTTCAGCCATCTCTTCGAGAGGCTCCAAGACATTTTCAAGACAATCTGATCTGAGGCACGCCTCGCAAGCAAGTCAGGGATGCAGACAGCGAGGAGAAGACTCGGACAAAGGGATGACACAAACAGAAGCCCTCTCTGCGATTTTGCCAGGAAGAGGACGGTTCGGCAGATGCAGGGAACACAGTGCCTTGGATGAGATCCGAGTTGCATGGCAGTGGAGATGTGCCACCTCCTTCGAGCAGGACGGACAGCCCGTCCAAGTGGATGAAGAGGAGCTCGAAGGGCTCCCGTTTGCAGCGCCTTGTCAGCTTAGAGCGCACAGGTTGATGATTCTGACCGGGACGACCTTGATGAGGCAAGAACTCTCACCACAATCGCATGCCGTAGAAATGCATGGGGCCGTGCGCCTTCCAGGATGATGACGGCCAAAACACTCACTCCGGGGAGGGGGAGGGCGCAGAGAAGCGAACGGACCAGGAGCCCGCACTTTCGGGTAGATTTCATGGCAGCCTGGACTGTTGGCCATGCATAGGGCGGATCTCAAAGCGGCGAAGGTGCAACTGCCCTTGCCACCTGCTCGGCTTCAGTCATGTGACAGCTTGCCTTCATCTGACAGGGCCAGAGATGGAGCAGGATGAGGAGCCAGAAATGTCAGACATGTACGGTCCCTCAGTCATCTCTGCCTCCTGGGATACCTTGTCTTCGTCCCGTTACCATCGAGGCCCTGGGTGGCACCCTGGCCGAATCAAAATCCACATCCGCTGTTGATGTCAGCGCCTCGGGCCGTTCAGGGGAAAAGCCCGGATCTTGCAGTGGACGCCAACAACTTCTGAGCCCCACCGACACCCATCGACACCCCTCCGCGCTCGAAAGTTGGTTTGGCGCGAAGATCTTTATGAAATACAATAAAGCTGATGCCGCTGCTGCCGATGATGACGATGGAAACGAACATGAGATGACAGCTTTGGTGCCAGGTATGCCACACACAGGGAACGGCATACAACAAAGGATGAGACGATCCGTACGTGGGGTAAGTGCATGGGCCCAACACCCAAGGATGGCCAAATGACCTGCTTACCAGGTGGTGCCGCTGCTTGAAAGCAGACGGCCAGATCGGGCTTGCGCAACTTTACATGTATTTTGTTTTTGATGATCTTTTGCATCTAGGGCTCCCCGTATCAGTGCCGACATGGGTGTTCCCTTGAACTTCGAACATTCCTGTGTCCTGTCTGTTTCGATGACCGCTTCCATGAGCCGAGACCCTCCAACGTAGAAGGTTCAACTGAGCTTTATCATGCTGTGATGTTCTTCGCAACAGTCCTTTCATGCGAGTGTGGACCGCAAGAGCCACGACCACGATCCTTTCGGTCGTGCGTGTACTGTCGCCAGCCGCTTGCAAGGAAAAGCTCGATCCAGGAGTTCCAAGCGCAGCCAAGCACCCAGCGACACAGAACGGCCGATGGGCCTCAATGAACAGGCTAAGGCAAATGCAGGCATCCAAACACAGGCCTCTGTCAGCCGCTTGAACCGAGGCTCCAAGGAGGCAATTGGGTTAGCTTCGAGGAGTTGGAGACGACAAGCGCAACGTTCTGCAGTGGGAGTCCCGAGAGATCGCTGCCATGGGCCACCCCCTTTACACCTTGAAGCTGCAGGTTACATACCACCCGGCGAACACGTCCTCACAGCCACACTGGACACGTGCTGGGACGGGGAGCGTGCCCAGGCGGGGCCTTCAGGCGCAAGTTCGACGAAGCATCTTCGCAGTTGTCTGGCAAGGCTTACATGCCACCCAAGACTTGCCTGCTGCGGATTTGCCTGGTGCTCCAAGAGCTGGAGCAAGGAGCTTCCAGGATGGGAGCGTGAATTCTGCACACGGGAATTTCTCGGGTACTACAACTGCGAAAGGAATCGCCTAGAAGCTGGGGATTCCAAGCCCAAGCCTGGACCTCCGTGGTGCCTTGACTGCAGGTCTGAGTCCAGGCCCAGGCAAAGGCCGAAACCGACAGCCCGCCAAGGCTGCAGACAGTCTTCAGCTATGAACCATTGGGGCAGAACGGTCGATTGTCAGAGGCGCACTGTCCCAGAAGTGTTGTAGGTTTTGCGTGGTGTGGGACGAAAGTTAAAGACAGTCCTTGCAGACACCACCGCCTTCGTCTCCGTGCAGCTGTGTCTTACAGGCGCTCTGAAGCCTTGCCATGTCAAGTGCTGAATCTTGCAGTGAGTCTTCCCCGAGTTGCCTGCAGGCTGTGAACAGTTGGAGGCCCAGCGCTGGCCAACAGGCAGGACATGAGACTTTCCCAAAGGCGATTCGCGCAAGTGTCCTGAGCAGGTGCTGGAGCCACCGGACTGCATCAATCTCACAGAGCGCTTCTCAGATTTCTGGCGTCGTTAACGTGATGCGGTGGCTATTTCAATGCTGCTCGGACATACTTTGCCAGGTTGGTGACGGTGCCCAGCCGAGCAGTGTAAGCTTCTCTGCGCTTATGCCACCAGGCCAAGACGGGACGGTTTATGGAACGTCATCCGTATCCCGTGGCCCTTTGTCTTTTGCCTCGCATAAATATACTTCAGGTGAGCATTGGTACCTGGTGAGCGACGATGCTGCTGAGCTGGCGGGGTCGGTGCTTTCTGTCAGCGCTTGTGCCTCAGGCGCACAGTCTAACTCTGATGAGCGGGCTGCAAGAATTACATACATCGCGAAGATCTTGGAACAGCCTGTTGCATAATGTGCTCATGTGGATGAGGTTGAAGGCTTGTTGTTAAATGGAGGAAAGCCCGGGTCTAAGCATGATATCTTGAGACTTCTCGGTGGTCGCGTTTGAGATCCTGCTGGCTCTCGCAGTCAGGTCATCGGTGGACTTCGTGGAGCCAGCAAAGGCACTGTCTAAATATCAGATGGCACTCCTACCAGATTGTCCCTCAGTCGCTTCGACGTTACATCAACATGCTACTTTACTTCGTCACGAATGTCTACATGTTTCCCAGGTGGGCCCGCTTCAGTACCCGATTCACACCGGCTACTGTGCGACGACCTCAGGATCCGGAATATCGGCTGTCCACGCACTCGTCACGTCTGCAGGTTTGGGCGAAGTCGGAGATTCTGGTGTCAGAGGTAAGGAGTGGCAGATAGAGGGGAAGCGTGGACCAACAGTGTTTTCACTCTACAGGCCTACGCCGACAGCTTACAGACACTGCAGCTTCTCTGCCATCTGACCGATGTGACCTTGTGGCCTTACATCCAACTGCCAGCACCTCAGAGCCGAAGAACCGCGGGTAGTGCGGTACTATGCGGTACGGGTAAAGTGCTCTGAATTCACTTCTGGGACTCTGGGAGTGATGCAGGTCTTGCCTGCGTGTGTCAGAACTGGACGGGCAGCTTCTGCTTCGTCGCTTTGCCTTCCTCCGCTGTGGGACGTGGGTGCAGGAATCTAAAGCTGACGAGCCGGCAGAAAATCGCTGCGCAAACTGGTCTGGGTCCGAGTGTTCGCAGCTTTCACAGCGCTCTCTGTGTGATATCTCTGCCGAATCTCAAAACATGTCAAAAGAAACGCCACCGGAACGACCGCAGCTATTGAAAACTCTGATCAAGATGCCAGCCGTCCATGTGTATTTGGGGATTGTTGAAATGGCTCAGGTCGGTGTCAACAGTGCTGAAGTCGCCACTCCTTCGTGTTATGCTGTGATCCGAGCATTCTGACGATGAATTCAAGCGCAGACTTTTGCCAAACATCGCTGTGCTGGCCCTTGCGGGCAAGACCCTTTGTCTGCTGTTTGACTTACTGTGACGAAGGTCTTTGCCGCTTGCCGACGAGGCAGCAGCCAGAGATTATTCGTTTGGGCTTATAATGGAAGTTCAGTGCAGCGCGCGATACAGCATGGTTTCTCTTCGCTGCTGTGGTGGAAGCACACCCTTGTCGTGCAGCCATGTTGGAGCATGCCATGGGAAACACTGCCGGCTCATCTGACAAGTTTCTCGTTGAGCAGGAAGCAATTGGACCAGCGAAGTGCGACAAATGGCTTCTTGCAAGCGGTCGGATCCGATGCAAGAACTGACAGCTAGGTACGTGCTTATGTTGGAGGCCAACTTGCCGCCAGAGGCCATGCACGGTGGATTGGGACAGTCCGGTGTGGTTTTCTGATCCAACATGTTGCAGCAGGTGCTTCCCAAAACTGGCGGCGAGATATCGATTCAGCACGAGCCTCACAAGTTTATACATACTGGACTGGCGAATCTTCCCGTTGGCAGTTGATTAGACATGGTCAACGATGGACAAAAGGATCTTTGGTCCTCCTGGAACGGCCACAGAGCCCGAGGATCCATTGGAAGGCTCAGCTGCTTTTCTTCGCGTGTACAAGATGTGTTGTTCTGACGGATTGCGCTTGGTAGGAGGGGAGAAAGAGGGAGAAGCTGGTCTCGACGACGAGGTACTTTGAAGTTTGGGGCTAGAAAGGTGTCTGGCAGACGCTTGCGGGCTGCATCCAGGTGCCGCTGCAGCTCCAAATGCTTACCGTGGACAGGGTGATGCGCTGGCAAGGAGATTGCTCGGAAAATGTCAACCTGCCCGAAGTTACAACTTGATGCTTGCCGCTTCGCTCAGTCATTCAGCAGTGACTTGAGAATCAACATGCCAGGACAAGGGCTTAGTCTTGTGCGAGCGCATCACGGTTCCCCCGGATGGTTGCTTCCTGAGTGGTTTTCATGCTGTCTAGCTGTTCAACACTGCAGATCACTGCAGGAGACGTGACAAGCACACTTCGTATCTCTGTGGAACGGCTTCCCCAGGCACGTGTACCTGTTGGGAATTGGTAAGACCCTCCGCTTGTAGTGTGATTGGCGGACAGTGAGTCTGCATGTTAGTGCATAAAGCTTCAGGCCTTCTTGCGAGCTACACTCGTTGCTCAAATGCCTCCAACAGATGACATGCCGACAGCTCGGATAATGTGCACGTGCTTCGGATCGGTAGTGTGCACAAAGCCCACAAGGCACCAGTATGTGAAAGCTGACAGAAATGCTGCCTCATCTCATGGTTCTTGGCTCAGGCGCGCGCCCAACCCAGACGGGACTCCACTGGAGCCACTGGTGCCTGGAGCACCAATCAATCCAAGAGACTATGGCGGTCGAAGGTGGAGCTGCCCACTTACGTTTACTTCTGCTGGCACTGCGGCACAGTCGCCCGGGCCTCTTGCAGGAACTGGCTGTCACGATGCAAGAAGGTGGCCGAAACGAGCGGGCTTGAGGCAAATCATGGCATGCAGCTTCGGAACAGACTCCAAACATTGGAGTGCGCCAGATCGTGTCTTTCTCTCACGTGCTGCTGAGACAAGCCTCGCCTTTGCCTCGGGGTTAAGGGAAAGGACGTACGAGCTGTCCGCGGACCTACAGAGGACCTACCTGTTGTACGTGCACCTGGACCAGTTCAGGGGTCCTGCCAGCCTCGACGGTCCGATGTAGCGGTGTAGTGTAGCACTTGTCCCATGGAGCGCTTCTGTTCTCAGGCGGAGCTTGGGTTCTCGAAAGCTTTGGCTCTGGCTCTTTAGAGGCCTTGACAGCTGGACCTCCGAAAAACGCTTGTTCCTCCCTTAGTTTAAGGTAGGATCCGATGCCATGGAGCAGGATCTGGAGGTGCACTTGTGGGACTCGCTGCACTCGTCGGCACAGAATCGTGCATAAGGAGTTGGTCCGAAAGTCTTGGGAATCCTCGCAACAGGCCTGGGCATCATTTTGCTTCGGATGTGCAGCTATGCTTACTTAAGCATCAAGTGCCGCGGAGAACGGAAGTAGTTTTTTTTCCTCAGCACGGGCATGTCTGCCGTCGGCCCCAAAGCACAGCCCACAATGACGACAGCTCCGAGCATCGAGAGCCGCAAGGACGCGTTTACACGATCGCAAATACGTGAGTACAAGATCCGGAGTCTGAAGGGCGGGTCGGCAAGGAGGTACGCCGTGCTGACGCTTTGTTTGGGAAGAAATGGGAGAAGATAGGTGAACATCGGTATAGTCCGAAGTGCAGGCTGCTTCAGGGGCTTAAACGCGTGAAAGAGACTGTGAGGTGGCCATCGGGGTGCACCGAAACGCCAAGAGTAGAGTCGTCTCTGCCCATCTCCTTGACTCTGTGGTTGTGGAGACACCTCCGTTTCTGGAAGAGTTGTTTTCCTTTTGAACTCCTGCGTCGTGATTCAGGGTTCTATTTTCTTGGAATTCTTGTTCACTCGCTTCGACTTGAAGGTGGAGTTCAGGACACAGCCGCCGAGCGGCAACACAACATTTCATGCTGCAATTCGTGTTGCTTCATGCCGTGTGCATGTTTCAAGGGCAGGGGGCAGCGGAGCTCAAGCGGCAATGCTGCCGACACACCAGTTATCATGACCCGATTGCTTTCAATTGAAATCGTGCCTTCCAGGGTTGGAGCACGCAAGGTTGTTATTTTGGAGCTTCGTGGTCACCGCTCGTGCTTCAGAGCATCTCGTGAGTTCTGCCACCAGAGAGCTGCCTTCCTGATGGGTTGTTTAAAGAGATTGCACATGCCTCTATGCTTGTCGAGCTGAAGGATGCTGGATTCTTGATTCGTCAGCTGGATCTGAAGCGGACAACCTAGCATTGCCTCAGCTGAGTGGCGTAGCAACGTCACCAATTATTCTCGCTTCAACTGCTTGCTCCTCGCTCCTCGGTTCGTCTGCGCATTTCACATAATTTGGGATCGGGGATTGTTTCTGAAACTATTCATGATCATGTCGTTGGAGATCGGATGAGCAATGCGAGGTGTGCCCAGCTGCATCCAACCACAATAGACGTTTGTCTCCCTTCGGCTTTCATTGGGGCATTGCCTCAGGAGGGAGAAGCCAAACCTCGCTCCGAGATCGCGGCCGAAACGCAGGGTTCTGTGGTCCAACTGTGAGTCGGATCGTAGATGAGTTCCGAGACGAGCCCGAGGCGAGAAGCCTGGACGTCCACCAAGTCTGGAGCTGGAGCGAGCGGCGAGGCCGAGGCCAGGGCCAGAGACGAAGTGCCAAAGTCGACGTGACAGTGCCTCGGGCCATATCGGGCCTCGGTCTTGTAGGATACCGTCGGCAAAGCCGAGGAGGAGAGTAAGGCTTTTGGCCTGCTTCCTGATGTCTGCATGGAAAGTTGGCAGGACCAGGTGATCGCTTCTGTTCTGGAGCGTACTCGGGAGGTCTGGGTGCAGCATGTTGCAATCATTTGCAAGCTCTCAAGCCATGTCACAGGTCGCGCATCCCAACGATAGCATCGCCAAATTCTTGTGGCTGCCTGAGTGACGGGCCAGAGACATCGAAGCGAACTCATTGTTATCTCTAGTCTTTGAGTAAGTAATATTACGGCAGCCGAACTGCAAACACCGGCAAATAAATGCCCGCCTCACAGCCAAGCTCCAAGCTCGATGCAGTTAGGTTGAAGGGTATGGCAGCATCCAGCAGGTTCAGGGAGTGGTTGTGCGGCAACCAAAATCGACTCTTCAGGAGTTTGCGGCAGTCGTCTGTTGTTGTGGCTGCGGCGGCCATTTGAGCAAGAAGTCCGGGTGTGGGTGTGTTGGATTTTGATTTGGTTCCTCTGTTGGGTTTGCTGTCTTGAATGTCTTGCTTGAACAAAACCGTGCTGCAACACATGGAACCTGCCTGTTGCATGGACAGCCACAATGTCCAGCAGGTGTTCATTTCCAAACTGCGACCTTTGCCTCAGCAAGCACGTGCCGTAGAACCTCCACTTTTCCACGGGAAAGTCCCGTGTTCCAGTTGTCAAGGAAGCATCATGTTGAGTCGCAGTCTGCATTTAGGTTTGTGGACACGAAAACGTTGTTTGCACGTACTCTTGTTAGTGCAGTACGTAGGTATTGTTTTCTTGTATTATGAAATATGAACATACAACTAATGTATCATCATTCTACTGTATTGGCACATGGTGGTGCTACATTTATATTTATGTGCTATGTTGATATCGCATCCACCTCGCCGAAATATTATGTCAAAATGTGCTTCCTGTACGTAAGTATGTGTGTGCGTATATTATGTTTATAATAAGATGTGTATGTACGTATGTCTGTACGTCTGAATGTATGTATGTATGTATGTATGTATGCATGCATGCATGCATGCATGCATGCATGCGGGTATGTATATATTCATGCATACTACGTATGCTTATACGCATAGCAAGCACGAAGTTAATGTACACGTGTCACGTGCAACTACATGGCGAAATCAAGCAAGAATTGGACATGGTTCGACATCAACGTGGCTTTAGACATTATCATCAGGTGTCAATTCCTCTGTTCTCTCCATATGTGTATACATACACTTATAAGTATATAGATACATACATATGTATGTATATTGGAACATTCACATACAAGGCTGGCGGTGCAATGTAGTACTAAACAGTGTCCAACAAGTAGTAGCAGTGTCCAACAAGTAGTCGAGCATCGTGAATACTGAACATTTTGAGTATTTTCGCAGGGAGTCGTTTGATCCGTAATCGCGGTAATCCAACTCTTAGCATCCTTAACCCCAGGAAGTTCTACAAACCAGATCAATGGAGCTTGCTCCCTCTAGGCCAACATGCTCTCGCGTCCCGGGCCCCCACCCCCCCTTCATCGTATCCCCACCCCTCCCTCCACCCCTATGGTATCCCACCCCTGCCCCTGCTGGTGCGGCTGGGGTTGCGCCCCTGCGGTGCCTGACTTCCCCCCAACCCGGTATGGTACCCCACCCCTGCCCTGTGCGAAATGCGGCAATCTGCGAGGTAGTTTCCTGCATCAGACATGAGCTACAATGCTGAATTATGAGGGTTGTATGGCGATGGTGATGGTGGCAGCTATCCTTTTGATGGTACTGATGATGAAAATGGCGACGACAATGATAATGTTGAGCATGATATCAAAGATGAACTGATTGTCGACTCGCGTCGCCGTCTAGAGTCTAGAGCAGCATAACATCATGAGCAGTACCACCGGTGCCACACCAAGAAGGAAGATAAGGAGTAACACATAGGAACTTCAAGAACGGCGGATACGGGATGCTATTGTAGACATGAATGGTGGTGGAGAAGATCGGAACAAGTGCTCTTAAATTTCCATGTAACAGTAGTTGAGTCACTAATCGTGACAACAGATCCTTGTGTTACATATGTTGCGTATTCCATTTCAGGCCAACCAAAGCCTTAGCAAGGGGGTGCAGAGCCCACCACGACAACGAAACCAAAGGGACGAGGTGGGATGCAGTGGAGAAGGGTGCCACCACAGGCCCCACCCCATAGGGGGGGCGGGGGGGGGGGAGGCGAGGCGGGGGAGGATACCAACAGGGGTGAGGGCGTCTGCTCAAACAAAACCTGCGCCTGCCCACGCCAACCTGCCCACCTACCCACCTACCTACCTGCCTACCTATCTAGCTTGACTTCAGACTTGGAAAGCTGGAAGCGCACACACACTCTAAACGAATGGCAGAGTCCAACTGACACATAGCCACAGTACAAGTCTAGCCATCTATGCACGCCCTGCAAAACCATTCCTGAATAGTGCCATGCAAGAACGCACAAGATCACTCACAATGGCAACATCAACAAGAGCAACAACAACCACAACCACATCCAATGATGTTAACTAGAGTAGTAATCAATCGTCACCATTGTCATTCATTCCTGTTCAGTACATCCGGCATATCGTGTGCAGATGCTGGAGACTGAACATGGTCCAAGGAGGTATGCAGAATATCGACATATTTCATTGAGCACAAATAGCACAGGAACCAAAAGACCACGACGCACAGTGAAAAGTAGGAGCGGGAATAAGGCAGGGATGCCTCCTCAGCCCATATATTTCCAGGATTTTGTCTGTCACAATGGAGGACGCAGACTGGGACCTGGCAGCTCAAGGTGTAGCTCGAAACACTTGGTCGACAAGCCCTCATCATTCCTGTATGCCTCTCAACAAAAGCTGTTAGAACCTAGTGAGCCCCTACACAACGTGGTTTTGAACTCAGCGTACAGAGGTAGAATAATCGCGATTGGCCGTAGAAGAGGTATGAAAATGCCCAACGCAGCGGCATTATAAGAACCATTGGCAAGAAAACCCTGGTAAAGGAATTCTAGGACCCCACCAAGTGTTTGCCAAGAGAAGTCGAAACCTGAAAAGTTCCTATGAGCGAGCGCCGAAGCGCGCTCGACAAAAGCGTGCAGACCACTAGCAAGAATTAGAACGGGAAGCTGATGGAGCCGCCTTTTTCCCTCGCTTCTTTGTCTTCGCTATCTCTTCCAGCTTGCCTCACAATCGCTGTCCCTCTACACACACACACAGCCGTACACTGCAAATTCACGTTGAACTCTCCGCCGACATTGCAACAAGTAAGACAGTCCAATACATGATTATCATGATTTCCATTGCGTTGAACATTGAACATCGCAGATACCAGCGAACGCTTGTCAAGGGAGTCTCCAATGCGCGCTGTTCGAGTCAATCAAGCTTCAACCTTGACAGGTAATGACGAATGGTGTTCCGCTGTACTTGTAAAGTTTGTATGGGGATAGTGGGAGATCCTCAGGTCATCTCTTTTGTGCAGCGGGGGTGCTTGGTGGCTTGTCAGTCCCCTTACCAGGGGTCCTTTCTTTGTCCGTGACGGTTTTGGTTCAGCCTTCAAAAACTCACTGCAGTGGTTTACCTGCGCCACTCGCTTTTTTGGCCTCCTTCCGGAGCTGCTCCAGCTCCGGCTCCTTCCAGTGGCTTTTCTTCCCCGCGGCGGGGGACCAAAAGACTTGCCTGGCGGTTCCACGACTAGTCCTCATCTCGGGAAGTCAGATTCCCAGAACATGCAGCAGCCCAGTTGAGGAAATTGGAATGTCGGGCAATGTAGGGGTCCTTATAATCAGGAACCTCGCAACCCCAGTCGCACTTCCTTCTCCCTAGTTGTTGTTCTTGCGCAGGCAGACTCCGGGTGTGGAGAAATTGCGTGAGGTGCTCTTTCTGTCTGTGTCGTCGGAAGCCTCGGTTGAGAGGCTCTGCGTGCAAAGGCGCAGGTGAGCTTGAGGTGTTGAAGCACGACAAAGAGGCTTTTGGGTGTGGGCACACACCCGATGATTCGAACATGAATGCTGGAGTGTTGATTTTGGGGTGTGGTGGCAAGCCTTGGGCTTCCAACACCAACTTACGCTGCAACCCAAGGTGGTAAGCTGGGGCCACACTTGCTTGCCGGATCTCTGGACAACCCAGCTTTGTGTGTTGTGCACGGGATTTAGGGAATCACGGCCAGGAGGTTTGCCATTACCGTCCGTCATAATCAGTGTCCAAGCTGGCCGTCAGATTCCTTGCCGTCTTCCATTTTGCTTCGGGTTCGCAGAGCTATTTCCAAGTAAGAATCGGGGACTGTGCCCTCTAGGAATGGTGTCGGAGAGACAGAATGTGATCCGAACTCGAGCAAAGGTGTGGCCACGCAGACACCCCAGCGGTTCTCACACAAGAGGCAGGTTTCAACCGACACGTTTCAGCACAGTTTTGACAAGTAAACAATGAAAGTGCATTCTCCGAGCTCTTCAGGATCCGTACACCGTCGCCCCAGACAGGCCGACAGTACGCAACCTTGATGTCCGACAGATTCGGATACGATCACGCAGCGAACAGGTTAAGCATACGCGGGATTCTTGATTTCACGTGCTGCGTGTGTAACTCGATGTGTAGGCCAGAATGGAAACCGGCAGAAGATACGGATGGTGACCCTGGCATCGTTGAGTGTGCGTGGAGATGAGGGCGTGCTGCCCCCATCAGTCATCTGAGCAGGAGTGGTCAGTGAAGAGGTTTGTGCAGAGGACACGGAGGCTCTGTCAATGCAGTGGCGGTGTCTTCGAGAGTGTCTCTTGCATAGAGGCTGTGGCCGTGAAAGCTTTGGGCACAGAGGGTGAGCGACACGCTCGAGAACTCGAGATTGAGCTGTCGAACGCCAGGTCTGAGCATGAGTGAGCTGGTACTCAGCCTTGTGTGCATGGGCCTTTCAGGTGGCAAGCTGCCAAGGAGAGACTCGATGCAGCAGACCGAGCTTCCTCAACTTTAAGATGGGCTATGCGCATCTTCGGTGCCTGCTTCCTCCACCCAGGCAGCGAAGGAAAGAAATGCAAGCCAGATACAGGAGAACAGCTTAGCCTTTTATCGGCAAGTGGAGACAGGGTTGTGCTGCTAGTTTAGTATGTGCAAACAATGCCTTACAGCCAGCTGTTGAGCCTCGGATTCATTTCGGAAGTGTCAAAAGCAGGAGCTGCGGCAGTGGCGAGATGAGCGAACGGCAGTGCTGGAGCCTCGTAGAGAAAAGCCTGAGTTTGTTGGGCTGTTGGCTGTTCTGAGAGCTCGACTATGAGGCCCGGAGGGGTTCAAGGATCTAACTTTGCGAGCGCACGGAGCGAGCTACGCGGTGCTCTGCACTCGCGCTGGCTGCCAAGCTTGTGAGCGGCATCATGGTAGTTTTGGGCACGCTGGCCATCGCTGCGCAGGCATGGAGAAATGTGCGGTGCTGAAGATTCTCTGTTTCGATGAGAAGCGCCGCTTTGCGCCAAAGATGGGCCGGTGGTGAAGCAGTAATCATCCCTTCTCCCTAATGTTAAACGGGGGGGCTCCCCCCAATGAGAATTCGGAAAGTGTTTTCATTATTAAGGGGTATTTGAATCTCTACTGCCACTTTTGATGGGTCGTACTCTTGCTCTTGCTCTTGCTCCCGCGCTGGCTTTTGCTCCGGCTTCTGCTGCGTCTCTTGCGCCTGCCCTGCTCTTGCTGTTGCTCCCGCTTTTGCTCCTGCTCTTGCTCCAACTCCCGCTCTTGCTTTTGCTTTGCTCTAGCTCCTGCTCTTGCTTCCTGCTCTTGCTCCTACTGTGCTCTAAGGGTATTTGGAGCCTCGAACCCGAAGTCAGGATAGGTGTTAAAGGGCAGGGATGATTTCGGGAGGATTCACCCCAATGCGTTTTTTTGTTACTGTATTGAGGGTGTTGAATAAAAGGATGAGAATGGATTAGATGATGAGAGTAGACTCCCGCATCACGAGGTATGGACCCAGAACCTCTGAGAGCCGCTCGGAAGAATCTCAGGGGTTTTCGAAGTGGCGCTGACCTGGCAGTGGTCGCATCATCTGTCGCAGTCGCAGTGTCATACAGGGTTGTAATATACCGTTATGCGATGATACACGGTGCATGCATCTCCTCAGGCCGCTCTTTCAGAAGCTGATGTCGCAGGTGCAAGGGTGCGCCCACGAAGCTTGAAGCTGTCATGCTTGGGAGTTGTCTGCCTGTTCCTGAACTTGAAGCTTGCCAGAATTACGACCCGGATCTCATGGACAACTCTATGCGAAAGCGCTGTTCTTGGACTCTTGAAAGCTTGGATAGCCCTGCATGCCATGCCATTTGGAGCGAGAGAGCAGAAGATCCAGGCTTCAAGTCCTCGATGGAGCCGTGGCCTTCCAGGAGACGATGGTGACAGCAGAAGCGAAAATCGAGGCTGCTGCAGCAGCGTCTTCTGCTGCTGGCAGCCCAGCGCCTTCATCCCTTCGGGCCTCGTGACCATCGGATCTGAGCCCACGGCCGAGGTCCAAGCGACGGATGAAGGCAGCGAAGGGTTTGCTGAGGCCAAAGATGCTGCATCGACTGCAGCTGAGGAAGCTGTGCCGGCCTCGGTGTATCTTCGAGTCAGCAGCTGGGCAAACCTGTTGCTGCCAGGCTGCCGCTGCAAATGCGCTCGGCGATTCCCTCGCGGAGTTCAAGGCCTTCACAGAGCCTGCCGTTACAGCCGTCACAGATCTCGGTTGATCCATGAAGGCGAGCATCAAGGATGCTCAGGTGTTTACCTTAAAATCGGTCTGACACAGAAGCGGCACCAAAGAGGATAGCTGGAGCCAATCTGCGCACAAGTTTCCGAGGCCTTCGACATACCTGTGCCTGCAGATCTGTTGAACGAGGACCGCGTTGTGCAATTCACGATCAAACGTCTAATTTCATCGTGCACGAACGCTTCTCTGTCAAAAGGAACGAATGGAAAAAGCAACGGCATTGCTCGAGCAACATGCTGCCGCCGCAGCTGCGGTCAGTGATGGGCCCGGCCCAGCAGGGTGCCGACAATCACAAACTCTTGCAGTCTGCTCTCAGTTTGAGGCGCTGACACCGAGACTGCCTGAAACTGGCAGCATCTGAACGTTGCTCCGATGTCTTGTCATGCGTTGCCTAGCTCAAGCCTGAATGACTGTGCTAATTTCATGTCAGTGTCATGACTAGAGACGTCAACATTTGTTGCTCCCTGCATGTCCTGTCTCACCGAAGCAGTAAGCCTGGTGCATGGATGGCAAAAGCTTAGCTCATGCCGGGAGCATCAGAAGCGGCCTGTTTGTCTGTTCCGCGGAGCGACTGCAATTTCTGAATCTCTCAAAGCAGCTCGGGAGCTCTGCTCCAAAAGCGGCCGTAAGCTGCCGGAGCCCAAGTTCAGATCGAGGCAAACTCTTGCAACGAGGGCTCTGAGTGATGGTGGTCGAGGTCTGTTCCGCCGTCCTATGGGGCTCGTGACGGACTTACGGACACGTTGAGGATTCCTGGCAGAAACCCAGCTTTTCGGCCAGGCCTTGGGGTGCCCAAGGCATGTCGGATGTAGCGCTGACGCTGGACGCTCACCTGCTCGTCACTGCCGGGGAAAGATGCTTCGTGCTTGTGTGCGCGCCATCTGTGGAGTGTGAGATGTGTCAGCCAAGGGGCAGCCAGACAGGAAATGCCAGACACTGGGAGGTTCGTCACCAAAGTGCTGCAACTTGTCGCAGTGCCTTGCATTCGTCATGTTCTGCAGGACAAGCCAAATGCAGGCTATTCAGGAACTCCAATGTGGAAGATAAAAGCTCAGCTGCAGGAGCAGCAGGCCTCCCTCAGCATGCGTGTTCTCAGTGACCCTGTGCAGAAGCCAGGCGAACGCCCAGGCTGGGCCGCGGAAAGTTCCAGAAGGATTCAAGCAGGCAAGCCATGAACGCCTGAAGATGAAGGATCATGCAGTTCGGACAGTTGCGACCGCTCGGGCAAGCAGAGATCTTATGGAGTTCCCTTCGTGACATCACTGCTTTCATGATCTGCGCAACGACGAAGCATGGCCAACTTAATTGGATTCAGGCCGTGGTTCTACCCGTTGTTTGATTGCTACTTGCTAGGAGCTAGCCGACTTGCAGTGAAGCACACTCGAGTGCAAAGTGACATGAGATTAAAGTTCGTGCCTGCCGCAGCGGTTTCGCACGAGCTACAGATTTTCGGTTACCTGCCTCACCCAGCCCTGTGTCTGATGATGCAATCTACATGGATGGTTGGGTAGGGTGTGATTGCACATATAAACATGTCGATTGGGGTTTTGTTGGGATTGGTTTGGGGTTTTATTGGGCCGTTGTTGGAACGGTGCTCCCACCGCAAAATCACTGCAAAAAATTGCTTCCGTGCACTGGGCTCATGAACCCTGCCAGGAGCCCCATGCTGGCAAAGTGATGTTATGTTCTTAGGAGCTCTGACATTGTGGGGCAGGTGGCTGTCCTGGGGCATAGTGATAGTGCTCAGCCTTGACAAGCCTGCAACCGGGCACAATGCTGGGAATTGGTTAGGGTTGTTTTGGGGTTGTGTTGGTGTTATGTCGGGGTTGTGTTGGGGACCTCGAAGGGTTCTGGTGGTACGGGTTACAGGTTGAAGCGGTAGCTTAAAGCGGTATCGTTGGTGTTTCAATGATACTCGGACAAAATCCGTACGATCTTTGACGACTCCAGAAAGGGGGGGAATCGAACACATCAGAGAAGACATTGGGCATTTTATGGCAACGCTTGCTCCGATGTGGGCAGTCCAGGTGCCGCCGCCTGGACCACCGGGGTGGACTCGTCCCTTTCAGGATGACTCCTGCCAGGTCTTGGCTACGGAACAGTCGTGGGCGTTTGACAACGAATGTCCCCAGCAATCAATCGTGGCATTGAGATGTTCGGCACCTTGTCCGCTGTCATGCTTTGATGAACAAGGCCCCTGCTTTCATCCCGTATTTAAAGGTGCTTCTGGTTAGCGATGATCAGGGAAACGTGTAATCGTTTTCGAACTATAAAACGAAGAAGATGCCCACTTCGATTATGCTCATGGACATCCTTCTCCAGATGCGCAGCCGTGGCATGCAGCTTGCTCGCTGATTCATCCGGATGTTGTGGGTTTCATTCTCGTTAAAGCTTTCCGTGGAACCCTTTACGCAACATTGCCGATCAAATCAGTGCTGGAAGATCCAATCTTCGATGAGTGGCTCTTTGCCCTCACCCATGGACACGTATAGGTGAGGCTGTGGCTGCCTCCTATGTGGCGTTTTGTGGGACTTTGGGGGTCCGGCACCGCTGGTGCCTTGCCTTGCGCCCTGAGGGATCGGACCCACGTTGGTCTCATCAGCTTGGATCTTCGACCGAATAGATGTATCTTGGGAGTCAGCAGCCGCAACCATCCACCACACAAAACAAGACTGTATCTGCCATTTTAATGCGGATGTCTGACACATATTTTGTCTTTTTGCTTGCGGTATGACTGCATCTTGGGTTACGTGTGGCGTAAGCTTTAGCCACGGGCAGCTATCACTTTACCTGTGACCCTCGTACCTGTGCCAGGTTGAAAAGGGCAGGGCGTTGTACTACAATGACAAGCGACAGGCAAGTGTGCAGCACATGCACATCTGCAGCCAATTCTGGCGCATCGAATGCGGAGCAGCTAGTGCCAACTTCAACAAACCTTCGCAACAAATGAAATTAGCGAGGTGCCAGGCGAGGAAGGCGATCGCACTTGCTGGAAGACGGCAGGTTTACTGGAATTCTGATGATGGCCAGACGTATGTTTACGATGCTGTCATGCAGAAGTACTCCTTGCCTAGCTCTCAGCATCCAGCGTGCTGCAATTTTTTGTGCAAGCCCCAAACGGACAAACCCCTGTGGTGGTGTGACACCAGCGAGGGCAACAACATTCGAGGTTTCAGCAGCAGCAGAAGAGCAAACTCAAGCAAGCAAGCAAGTTTTTCATGGGTGCAGCCTGATCAGCAAGGCTATACGACGGCCAGCCCCATGATGTTCGGTTCGCCGTGGGGGCCTGCTTCCATGAGAAGGCCAAGAAGCCTCAGCAACGTTTCTGCAAAGTTCCCTGAGTGACGCCTGCAGCAGGCCTCTCAAGTTCGACACGTGTTGGTGAAAGACCTGGCCAAAGCTGCACAGGCTCACCGCTGGCTTGCTCAGCTTGCATCACACTTGTTGCAGCAACAGGCTCATGGGGGGCGGACTGCAGATTCCGTTTCGCAAACCGGGGGGGCTCATGCCAGACCCAACACCCAGCAACAAAAAGAAAGTTTTCTGCACAAGGCTTAGCCATCCCACCAAAATAGAGCGTCTCGCACGCTATTTTCTTGCCGAGACATGTCCAAGGCATCGCATGCCAAGGTAATCACACAGCGACTGGGAGAAGGCGATCGGATTCAGCATGGCAGTATCGCCATTGCTCTGGAAACGCTTATCTTTCAGCAACACTTTAGCAGTGTCAAACTGTTACAAGCACCCCGTGTTCTCTGCAGAGGATGGGTGTGGCACATCTAGCATTAAGTTTCGATGCTGGGCAGCATTGCCCTCTTTCACCACATTTTTGCGTTCATCATGACCTCAGCATTAACCTCACTGCGAGAACACGAAATCAAGAGACAGCCTCACAGCGGCAGCATCACCACATCCTGCCATCCAAACAACATCATCACATCACGGCATCCAAGCCACCTCATCGGAAGAACCCTTCGCCACACTGTCGTGAACAACGAATTAGAGGTTTGATGATTGAGTAATTTTTCGACAGTTGACCGCCTGACAGCCCCACATCCCGCTGCACAGGCATACTACAGGGCAGCAGTGCCTAAACATCCACGCAAAACTACGTCGGATAGTGTTGAGCTCGTTTGGGGCAGGACCATTTGCGTCATAGTGACAATAAGAGAACATGCAAATTTGACGCCATGGTGAGTATGTTGAGAGAGCATTGTACCATGTAACACATAACGTTGGGTGAAGTCATGGAAGAAAGGCTAAAAGATATTGTCCCAATTCCAAAACATGTAAGGCTTTCAATGATTGTTCACAAATCCCAACAAAGATGAGGACCACAGCAAAGTCGGCGGGGGGTGTCAAAACAGCACGGAGTAAACTTGATTGTTTGACACAAGCTAGCTGCGACTCAGCCTCACGGGCCTCACAAGTTCGGATCTGCAGCATGCATGCACACGTGCCGATGGTCATAGTACACAGATTTTTCTGCGGTTGCACGAGCAGCATGTGAGCTCAACAATTCATTAAAGTAGCCGAGACACGTCATGATGTCAATCAGGGAAAACTTAAGACTCTAAGATGGTAATGTCTTTACATGTGTTGAACATTGCTGACATTAAGATCCACCGAAAAGAAACATAAGCCACAGTATCTAAACTATGAGGTCAAGCAGAGCCAGAAGCTGTGCTCTGAAACATTTCATTCTATGAAAGCACATCAGAATCATGCAGAGCATTGCAAAGCCGAAATTTTATGCTTAATGGATGTTAGGTCATGACGAAGAGGAAAGATTGTTGACAGGGTTGTAACATTTTGCAACTCAATGAGTTGGAGAGGAATCTGAGCCTGATCTGATTCGGTTGAGAAGGGTGGTAGAACATGCATGACAAAATAATAATCACGCAGCGCAGTATACACCGTGCAAAGACCATATTACATGTGACCTTTATGTACATGTGTATGCATCTATATCTATATATGTGTATGTATGTATGTATGTATATATATATATGTATGTATATGTACATGTGTATGTACATGTATATGTATATGTATATGTATATGTATATGTATATGTATATGTATATGTATATGTATATGTATATGTATATGTATATGTGGTTAAAGGGTCAAACTCTACCGCTGCGTTTTGTGCAGTTCGACGACATCGCTGTCAACTCCTGCGTTAGGATCGTTGCTGTAAGTAAAGACTTCAAAATCACAACAACCGTTTCCCTTAACAGAGCCAATAACCAAAACCAAGGAAACCGAAAAAACCAAAACCAAAAAAACCAAAAAAAACAAAACCAAAAAAACCAAAAAAACCAAAACCAAAAAAACCAAAAAAACCAAAACCAAAAAAACCAAAAAAACCAAAAAAACCATTATTCCAGTACTCTTCCAGAATATAACTGGCAATATGCACAAATGGAAGAGTTCCGAAATAATGGTTTTTTGGTTTTTTTGGTTTTTTTGGTTTTGGTTTTTTTGGTTTTCTTGGTTTTGGTTTTTTTGGTTTTCTTGGTTTTGGTATTTTCTGTTCTGTGAAGGGAAAAAGGTTGTCGTGTTTTTGCAAGTCTTTAATTACAACAGCGCCCCTAAGCGTAAGAGTTGGCAGCGATGTCGTCGAAGAGGTGTACCTAAACTGCCCAAAACGCAGCGGTCGAGTTCGAACCTTGGTTTTGGTTCTTAGGGTTTGTGACGACTATCGTCTCAATTATGACGGCGCTCTGAGGCTCATTGGCTAATACATGCCAGTTCAATGACGCGCTGCGTGTTCTAAAACAAGCCGATGCATGCAACTCGTGTGCTGTATCATGGACTTCGCTCATGCACCACTAATCTCACTCATGCCATATGCAGTTTATCATTCGCGGTGTTCCGTACTCAAGCCTGCTTGTATTTTCCAGTGATTCATATTTCTACAGTAAGCGCGATTCATGACGAGCTTCCGTGCGGAAGAGGGTGGTCAGGATGGAAGTCTTACTTTTGATGAGGCTTGTGGTCAGATCAGTGGCATGAAACTTCAAGGTCCAGAGCGTCGTCCTCTCAAATCCATTCGTGCTGTAGGCAATGTGGATATCGGAGATCTTCCTGTACGTCAAATGGAGTCTTCAAGCGCTAAATTTCGGTTGTACTACAAGATGCGATTGTACCGATGGTGTGGTCCTCGATATGATGAAGCATGTCACGATTGTCACGGCAAAGAATACTCAGCCACAGCGCTTGGCTTCTTACGACATGTGAAACCTGATCTTTGGATGCCTAAGCTCGAATGCTTCATTATGTGGATCCATGAATACCCTCGTCAACTAATGCTTCGCGAGCTACATCCACTCAGCCATAAACGCATGGATCCTTGGTTGATGGAATTCCAAGAGGCTATCAGCAACTGGTTTGAGAATCAGCTCAGTTTCGGTTTGGATGGTCCTATCTTTCAAGGATTGGAAAATACGTCAACAAGAAAATCAGTCTCTACCAGATCTGATTCGAAGATGAAGCGTCCGTCATCCAGTTCAGTAGTATACAAGAAGCCCAGCGTGACCAAAACCATTTCAAAAGCAAAAGGTAAAGGCAGGATCCTCATCGCCGATGAGACTCACCTCAACAAACGAAAGCCTAGTATACTCGCCAAATATGGACGCCCTCAGCGCGATCATATCTGGCTTTGGGGTGCCGTGCTACAAGGTCATGTGAACACACATTTCATCTTTCGCATTCTCGACCATCCCGAAGATGCTTATGACGGCAAACCACGAGGGCATAAGGAGATGGTCAAAAATTTGGGCATGCTCAACCTCAAGAAGAATGATATCTTCGTGAGCGACAAGTGGAAGGCAACAGTCTCTGCGATGAAATCATTTCGGCGCGAGCACAATTTTTCTTTGTCAGATGTAAAACACGAAATCGTGAACCATAGCAAAGGTGAACTAAAGAACGGTAACGGTTTCACTACAAATCCCATCGAGTGCAAGTGGTCTCTCATCAAAAGATGGATCAGGGCCCGGAATGCCGGACGACTGCCTCAGCACTCAGACCGTAGCAAGTGGCGTTTGCTTGTGAACGAATACCAAGCCAGAACTATTTTAAAGACCAAGTCTCCGGAGTCTTTTGATTATGGGAATATCACAAGTGTACAGTCATCAGAAATTCTGAAAGTTTTCTGTTGTGATTAAATGCCGTGCTAGTTTCTGTGATTCACACACCGCGCGAGAAAGACGTGCCACTGGAAAATAAATCGCTAGCGTTGTGGTATTATGCGGTTGTTCGCATGCACGAAACAGTGAACCTTGCTTCCCCGATGCTGCCGTCCCAGATCGAAGATGCGCAATTTGTGTCATTAATTATCTTCCGCATCACTCACTCACAGACACACACAGGAGCATGGTCGGCGATGCTAGGCACCTTTGATATACACCGACTTCGCTTATTGGGGGATTGTTGAAAGTATATTCGTGTATATCATAATGATAGACCGACTTCGCTTATTGGGGGATTGTTGAAAGTATATTCGTATGTATAACCCCACACGTATTCCATTATCTCGCAAAAATACACACAGCGGGCAGTGGACAACCCCACATGTATTGCATTATATCGCAAAATTACCCAAAACGCAGCGGTAGACTTCGACCCTGGAACCGTATATGTATATGTATATGTATATGTATATGTCTGCATGGTCGTGGGATGAACTGGGAGAGGACGTGTGTCAGCTTTTGTTTGGCCTTTGTTTGCAGCAGGCGATGCGCATGTCGATTGAACATCTCGACAGGCCGGGACACTTCTGCTCATCTGGGGCACTGTTGAAGCCAACCCTGGCTAGGCCATGTGCGCTGTACGCACTGTACGAGGGCCACAGAGGTCGGCCCAGCTCAGGACGGGATTTCGATCATTGAGATGTTGGTCTGATCCGCTCGTTGGGAGTGTCAGCCTGTGGCTGTGGAGCCCCGGTGCCAGCATCGGCAGTGGATGTTGCCTTGCAGAAGCAGGGGCACCTCGAATTGATATAGACATGTCTCAATTTCAGGCCGAGACCATGCACATCAGCGACCTTGCACGGGTCGCTCCACAGAACGCCCCCTTCAAGCTCTCCTGATGCACCCGTTTGCCAACTGCCAACACATGTTACAGAAAGTAGTTGTTGCCCAGCACTCACGAAAACACGTTTGCAGGGCCAGTGATCTCTTCCTCTCCCAATGCCACTGGCAGTTGTGGCATGGGTCTCCGATTTACGTTTCTCTGTCATGGAATTTGGTACCATGAGCCGAACACAGCCGAGCCTACTCACAGCCCTTCCCTAGCTCGATGCAGTGTTGGAACCCAGCCACGAGCTCATGTGCACATGATGACCCTGCCCACCCAACCTGGAGATGTCTAGGGCTTACAGGACGCAAAGCCGCACCAGAAACAAGCATGCATGCACCCTGAAGAGAATCCTTCCTTGGCTGCAAGACGCGGCATCGGTTTCTTACAGTTCGGCAGATTCAAAAGAGCCTTACCTACATCTGCTCAATCTGTCTAGGTAGCCTTGTTTTGCAGGAACCGCAAACGCTTGCGCGGAGTTCTGCGTTGCAGCCTGAGTCTGCGATCACTCAAGTGAAGCGCTTCCGCATTATCGGCTCTGCCATGCTCAGGTGAAGCACCTGCATCAGAAGCTGCTTCCAAAGCTCTCGGCTTTCCGCGGATTCTGGGAGGCCCTGCCTTGCCTGGCCTCTATGTATGTATGTGTGTGTGTGTGTGCACTGCAAGTCGGAGGACACGCGTCTCCAGGTAGCCATGCGAGAAAGTGGCCTTCTTAAGACTCGTCCAAGACATCTGAAGTGCGATGATCTTCGCAATGCACCTTTGAGTAGAGAGAGACAGAGACGGAAGGCTTCGAGGAGCTGGATGCCGAGTTCATAGAGAAGTGCCCTCGCCAACTGTCTTCTTGATGTTGTAGCAAACGCTGTGACCCTGACGCAGTACTACCCAGCCTTTAACAGGAACCCGGGCGTTCCAGATGGATGTTGTGCGGCGGTGGCCTTGGTTTCGGGACATCGCGTAGCAGGAACCTCAGATTCAATTGGCTGTTAAATTCTGCTTCATGTGCTTCGTTGCGTTGAAGCCTCTCTATTCAGTGTGCTGGCTAGGTCATCAGCACATTGGGTGATGTTGCGGCTGTGGCGTGCTGCCCGAACAGATGGCGAAGTTTCATGACACACACACACACACGCAGGGACATCTGGGCAAACAAGGCCAATGTCATTTGCATAAGGTGTGCATGCGAAATGGAGAAGCACTGGAGTTTCTCAAGCCGCATGCTCCGCTCTCAAGCGATCTTGAGAAGTCCGTTGCAAGCCCGACTCACTGCTTGCACGATGCATGTGGGAGAGGTCGCACCTGGCGTCGATGAGGATGATGACGAAGATGACGAGCCTCCAGACGCAGCGCCGTCACAAGGTGCCTGACATGAACGATTCGTTCTGCCAACGGGCTGCTGGTTTCCAGGAGAGGGTCCAGCAATACAGTGGACAAGATCGACCGGCACTGAGAGTAAAACAAAGCGACGAAGAGAAGAGCAGCTTTGCAGATGTGGCCCGATGCCTAGGCTGGGAGATGCCGACTTCAAGAAGCAGAATGGTTCTCCGCAACTATCGTCAACACCAGAAACGAAGGTGCTCAATGCATCGCAAACCGCGCGCTGACAGCATCCATGTTCCAAGATCAAGAAAGAAGCTGGATAAAATCGAAATGTATGAAGGGCTTTGCTTTCGAAAGTCTTGGCCAGTGAAATCCAAGTGACAAGCAGGGTGTTAAAAGCACAGAGGGCTAATGCAGCATGGGGAATACGGGCAGGGCTGTGCTGTGCATGTGTGTGTGTGTGTGCATCAGCACGGATCCAAAGGCTGCCCACACCTACACCCGTGACCTGGAGGTCTTGCATCTAGAGTCTCCGCATTTGGGCCTTGCATTCGTGCCGTGCGCTTACCCTCTCCGGAACACGGTCTTTTGCATCCTCTGCCAGCACAACTTGTTCGGATATCAAGGTGCCGAGCTCTCTATAACGCCATCGGCAAGAGTACTGCCGTGTCTACGGTGTCGAAGTGTGGATCCCATCTGAGCGGTGCAATCGGTGCTGTCTCGGCAATGCCAACTATAAGGCGTTGCGCGCCCCGCGCGAGAATGGCTGCGGGAGCTCTGGTCGATGCCGCGGTGCAGTGGCTGGGGCAAGCCCGGAGCTTCAGACTTCACGGCTGCTAAGCCTGCTGAGGAGGGAGCGGCAGCTCAGGTTGGGGACCTTGGCCTCGGGTCCATCGTCGTCTTCTTTGACAGGAGCGCTGTCGGAGGGCCAATGCCGGCCGCCCATGCTCTGATGCCCGAAGGATAGAAGATGGGCCTGCCCACAAGCGGGCCAAAAAAGAGGACCCCAGCCAGGCCGACCGCCCGACAGTGACAGTCGACCGGGTCGACCGAGTCGAATTCAGTGTTTCGGGGTGAGGTGCGCCTGAGACATATCCTGCTCAAACATCGAGAATGCAAGAGCACCATAGACAAGGCCGCGTGCTGGAAGACGTCCTCTTGCGCATTTCTGTGTCTCCGAGGTGCGAAACAAGCAGGTCAAGCGCTCGCGAGGAGGGAGCAGGTCCTTAACGGAGTGCGTCAGGGGCTTGAGCACGTGCCGCAGGAGAAGCCGAGCGATTGCTGCGAGCAGTGTTGGAAGAATGCCAAAACGATCCTGGCATGTCAGAGACTGAGAAGCTCTTCATCCATCTCCGAAGTCTGCTCAGCTCTGACCAGGAAGATTTTCACGCAGCGCTGCAAGGAGCTGTCCGAGTGCTGCGAGCCTCAGCCGTCGCGCGCGAATGCGCCTTGCGAAAAAGTTGCGAGAGCCTCGAGGCCAGAGCTGCCTGAAGGCCGGGGAGCTGGTGGGCGACCTGAGCCCGGGCCCCCCAAAAGGGCGGAAACTCCTCCCCTCGCCCCATCTCCCCTCTCCGTCGGAGTTCTTTTAAGGTTGGGTCAAGCCCGGCAAGTACGGCCAAGCATTTGCGTCCCGGCGAAGTTGTGAGTTGCTTTCCTGTTGCATGTTGCTGCACCAGCTGCGCTGCCAACCTCTTGTAACATGAGATTCAAGCAGTTCGGATGAGTTCCAAGTAGACGAAGACCTTTGCTTTGCGGCTATTCTACTCATCATCAGGTAGTTCACGAATTTTAGTGTCTCGCCTACACGTTGGAGCGCTGTGCCTGCGAGCTAACCGGGATGCTGACATAGTCCGGTCTGTTTTCCGATTGAGCCATTGATGCCTGTTCCCAGGACGATATCGCATTTTCCTTGTCTGTGGGTCAGCTGAGCGACCTCGCGCGCAAGCTCAGTTGGATCGTTTGGTGCACTGAGCGGGAGCAGAAATGCAAAGTGTCCCGGCTCGGCTCACCGTGGAAGCTCCAAAGATGTCTTCTCAGTCTTGGGTCGGCCCGCCCTCTGCCAACCCTTGCATTACAGCGCATGTAGACAGCGGCAGGGCATGGCAAGACGTTGCTTGCGCTGCCGAGGTTGACACGGATCAAGGGGTTCACATCATTCTGCGCACCGAGCCCAAAGAGATGCCCAGAGAGTCGGTTTGCACTGCCAGAGCCGAGTCAAGGATCGGCATGAAGAAGGCGCACGCACCGTGAAGGCACTCGAGCTGCAGGCTCAACTCCAGAAGTGCCAGGCAGAAGCTTGAAGCTCGTGCCGTGCTGTTTGTTGGCAAAGGCAAAGGCCCCAGCCTTCCTGCGCTCCCGAGCACTGCAAGCGGGACTCGGTGAGAGCGCTATCTGGTGGACATCCTCTCCGTACTCCGCGCGGGAAAAAGTGTTGCGTGTTGCCTCTGGTCGGTGGAACTTTCTCTAGAAGAGCAGGCTCAATCGCAGAATGCAGGCGGATGTGAAGCCACCTTGCTTATGTTCCTGGGCTCAATGAAAGCCTTGCTTCAGAGTTCGGCTATGGGAAGCACCAAGGCATGGATGTTGAACTGGGACAAAGTCCACTGTGAGTGGCGTAGTCAGGCAAGCATGGGCCGGCCAGGCCGCTTCGCCATGTGCCGCCAGGCAGGTTCGGTGATATCTGACCCTGGAACTTCCAGTGTTGCAGCACCGCCTTAGCCTTGGCAGAGGTACCACTTGTTGCCTTGGTTGGCACTCTGGCCGCATACTGCTGCTGGAGCCAGGTACCTTGGCGCATATGAGCGCAAAACTGCATAAGCCTGGGAAGGTAGTCGGGATTGCGAGAGATGGTGCAACAGCAGGAGAGCGGCTTCGTTGGAACTCAGGGCCCTCACCGTCCAGCAGGCAGCACTGCAGACACTCAGTCTCCACCGACAGGTAAGCCGATCTTTTGCCGGAAGCTTTTTGCTGGACACAAACTCATCTGATCTGGAAATCTCTGTGGGACTGCATGTGAAAGGATTCGGAAGGGCTGCGGAAGGCGTTTCCGAAGCTCGAAACGGCGGAAGGGCGAGACAAAGGGGGCGCCTCAAATCCCACATGAACCAGACGAGCTCCCGATAGCCCTCGGGCCTTGAAACTTAAACTTAAACCCGAAAACCCAATCCCTAAACCACGACCCACCGTCGAGGCGCGGAAGGTCGACAGACTGAAGCAGAATAGAAACCTGATCTCTGCCAGCCCACATCTACGTGCAAGACATGCAGCATTATTGGGCGGCTATGGGCAAGCCATCCCGGCCGAACTGCCAGTGATGCTGCGCTGAATGCTTCCGGGGGGCTTGAACGGCAAGCAAAACACCAGACTGCCATCAATGTGTGCAACACGACTAGGTGCTAGGCAGCTGGGCCATCCGCCTGGAATTTCGAGAGTTCTCTGGCCTCCCGCCCGCCTACGCCCTGTACACCAATTCCCAGACCATCGACTCGAGAATCTGATTTTTGGAACTGTCCTCGCCTGCCAAAGCAATGGGTCACGAAGAAGCGCGTGACTAGTCGATATCGGCGTCTTGTTCAAGACAGAAGTGTCAGTTGCAGGCAGCACTGCGATTGTCGACAACCTGCCGCGAGGTGCACTTTGTGGTTTAATCTTGAAGACCTCAGACAGCCCGGGCACAAGTTCGCAGGCTTGACGTGTCGGCGTGGCATATCGCAAATCACTCCGAATCGCTACGGACGTGACAGCCCAGAATACGAGCCTTGGCTGCATTCGGAATATCGTGATTACCCCACTGAGCAACCTGCATCAATCGAAGGATCCAGCTGAGCCTGCCATCATGCTGCCCTACGGCTCCGACAAACGGGCAGACTCTTTGTCTGATTTGTGCTGTGCCATGGGGATCCTGATTGATGACGATTCATGTCATGTGGATGGTGCGATCGATGTGTCGTCTCTTACTGAGGAATGGAGACCTATTCCACAGTGGAGAGGGGAGAAGACCTTCCATCCGTGCAAAAAGCTGCAGGCCGGAAGGGCGCAAGTCCAATGCTTTCAGGTGTGCAGATAGCCCAAGCAAGACTGCAGTCGTGCAGCTCAACAGTCCCCTCCTGTCCCTCGCTTGCCTCTTGTCGATCGCGGATGCGCGCCTGGTGCATGAACCGACTCCGAGAACGCATGCTGGACCCATCTGGACCTCAATGAAAGGTGGGAAGCTCCATCCACACCCTCGTCAGCCCGAAGTGGGTTTGTCCATCATATCCTCGAAAGTGCCTCCTCGAACACCATGTTGCAAAACAATCGTCCACGTCTGCTCCCGCTGCCCACATGGGACACGGAACTCCACTGGCCACAATGACATCGGGATGCCGCCCATGGGACTTGTTGTTCCAGCCTTTGCATGCGATTGTGGCTCAACAGATCCTGGCGTGCTGCAATCTCTCTCCTTAACATGAAAAGCTTCACCCCGCTCAAGTTCAGCACTCCCTGCGCTGTAGATGGCGCACATCTTGCCACCAACCTCGAACAGACTTGACTGTCTTCTGAAGAAAGGATGTGGCCTTGTTCGTCGTCTCCGTGAACACTGTCCTTGTCCCTGTCCACCGGCAACAAGCAGTCGGCCGAGTCGGTCAGGAGAAGCCTGACGTGTGACCACACAGACTCAGCACCGGGAGCCTCATGGCACTGCACTCGACAAGCCAGCAATCCCTCGCCGTTGTCAAGAAGTCGGTGAAGATAACTGAGCTTGGGGGAGTCAGCTCGTTCGGCTGTAAGGCTTGAGGCTTGAGGGTCCGCTCCAAAGCTTTGATCATCGGTACTTCGACCAGATTTGGGTCAGAGACAGCTTCTGTCCACAAACATAGCTCGGCCCCTCGGCTAAGCCTTTGACTTAGAAGTGTTGGCAATAGGGAGTATCGGCATAAACGTGAACAAGAGCCAGGAGCTCATGATGGTTGTCTTGCACGCCAGGATGACCAGTACCGTCAGTGGTATCATTTCGATGCCGAAGGAAAGACCTTGGGTCACTTGGCAAAGGCGCGACGCGAAGGAAACTGTGCTGGTTGAGGTGCCGCACCTGATGCAAACCATGTGCAGGCTGTGGCTGCCACTCTGGAAGGCACAGACAGCCCTCTGTATGATCCCATCCGGGACGGGGGTCCAAGCATGCTTGCAGATGTGTCACATGCGTTTCTAAATCGCCGCGACGAAGCATGACGAAGCTCAGAGTTCCTCAGGACGTCGGAGCTTACGCCATCGTCACCAACTGCGAGCGAGCGTGGCTCTTGGGTCGACGGTTGCTGGTAGCTCCGGTGACTGTCAGGATGGCCTTCCGTGTACTGCGCTCGTAGCTCTTTCTCAAGTGCTACGCGGAAACCTGCCGTTCGCCTTGAGAGATGGAAGCACTCCCGCATAATTCGTCTGATCAGGCGCTGGATGACGCCGTCGCAGACCCGTCCCTCTGGCATTGGGCAACTATGACCGCAGACGAGACTTGCGGAGCTGTTTGTCGCATCAACGCTGGAATGCGAGATCGTGGACGCTGGTGGGAGGCAGTGGAACAAGCTGCCGATCAGGTCTGCTGGGGCTGTGACTTGGAGCCATGGCCAAACGAAAGAGCTTTTGGCCACCAAATCTGGGCTGCAGTGCATGATGGCGGCCTTCCGATCAGGCGCGTTGCCCAATTCACTAATTTGTGGAGTGTTCCCTGCCCTCGGGGGATTCAACATCGCCACCGCGGAACTCGATGTCTTGTTGGCCATTTTGTCTATGGCATCATGTGCTTCTTCAAGTTCATGGGGGAGACGGGACAAGAGAACGTGGCCCTCACCAGCCTGGAGAGTGTGATGGATCTAGCGTTCATCGTCCAGCAGGCGCCATGCCGTAGCCAGTGGGCCTTCCCCGTGGAGGAGGTTGCGGAGAACTACGAACGAATCCTAACGCAAGTGTGGCATCGACACCTGCCCGTTCCAGAACGATGGCTCAGAGCCTCTGGTCCCTTGAGCTGCTGGCGTCCGAGGGTTCGAGAGCCTCAAGAGACAACCGAAAGGAGTCTTGCCAATCTCGCTCGAATTCAATGTCTGGTGTTGACCATGTACCCGCAGGAGATTGAGAGAATGGCCATGGTAGTTGAGACGTATGCAAAATATTGTGATTCTTTGCAATTCATAGTTGCAGGGAGTGGCCCATCGCACTTCAGAGGATATCAGGTTGTCAATCTGAGGGAGTTCTTCGACGTTGTAGCAGATCCGGCACCGACGGAGCATAAAGAACCCAACACAATTGAAAAGACCTTCATGGCACTTAACTTTGCAGGGCTGTACCTTCGACAGCTGCCGGAAGAGAGCAAACCGCACGTCATTTGCCGCCTCGACTCCGACACGTTGTTCCTTCCGCCGAACATACGCCGCATTCTTGCTTGCAGAAACTTCTCATTTGCGCATGCTTGGGCGATTGGCTTCGACAATTACGCTCACAAGCATCAGCAACCTGGTCGAGTTTTTCACAATGGTGGCACTGGAGTGTGTTTGTCAAGATCTGCTGTGGAGGTGCTTTCTGAAGAGATCTCCGCGGGAAAGTTGTTACGAAGCTCGTCCCCTGGCGACTGGAACACTGGCCACTGCGTGACTGCCCCGGGACACTGGGATGATGCTGCCTGGCTCCACTTCATCGTCGCGAGCATAGCAAGATGCATGGCTCCTGCTTTGCGGTTTTTGCAGGTTGTGTTGAGTGCCTGCCTGGCAAAGTTGGGTGTGGCGTTCTCGTGCTTACCTCAGCAACTGCATGTAGAATTTTGACGGATGTGAACACGACATGCAGCACTTAGTGCTTTGCGCGTAGGCGTTGGGGCACAGACTGCCAAGGCTGGACCATGTCTAAAATCAAAAGCTGCCATGAGTACTTTCCTACAGAAGGCCGAAGCCTCTTTTGGCCGGATGCGCTGCAGTATGCTTTTCCTGGTCCGGAGCAGATTCGGCCTCGAAGGCGCGCTGCAGCTGAAAGGATCTGCAAGGCACTGCAAGGTCCTGTTTTTGAGTTCTGGGTGGAAGGCTCCCTCCCAAGGGCTCTTTCTTCCAACCTCCGAGTACGAGCACCATGGCATACTCTTCTGCTCCTGCTGCTCATGGGGACGGCAAGAACTCAGGTAGTGGAGGGAAGCTCCCCGGGACGAATCGAGAGTACCGAGCCCAGAGCTTGAGAAAAATGGAATGCAACGGTTTTTGGACCTCTGTGGAAGCAGAGGCAATTTTGTGCAGGCCAGAGATCTCAAACTACCACTTCTGGCTCTACAGAGTGTGGCAGCATCTAGCTTGCTCACCGCTCATATGGCTTGGTGATTTCCCAGTCAGACTCTCGTCAGCTTCGGTTTGGCACTGGAACTGTCCTGGTTATCCATCACGAAGCAGGCGTTGTGTTGGCAAGCCAAGGCTTTCACCCCTATCGCAATCGAACTCTGGGCAGGAGGATTGCGTACTTGCTTGTCCTGGCTTTCCCATGTCTCTGCCAGTGTGGGCGTGGAGCGGTGCGGTGTCGTGTGGGGTGGTGTGGTGTGGCGTGGTGTCATGGTGTGGCATTCTGTGTGGTGTGGTATGCTCTGTACGGTGTCTGTACTCTGTGTGTGGGCGTGTAATTTCACTTCGCATTTTGCACGGAGTGCTCGATTTTCGAATGCTATCAGATCAACATGCAGGGGAAGCATCGATCTGCTGTGTGCGATGGTCGAATGAAGCGGCCCCAGAACATGCGGATACCAGATCTGACCATCTAAACATACTTGTGCCGATGGTTCGTGATTGCTGTACTTTCAACCGGTATGTGAGTGGCATTCGCCGTAGCTATTGGTGACAAATCATCTTATGACGTGCCTAATGCTAGTCAATGGGAGCTGATTGCATGAGATACTGACATGTGGGAGTGCATGCAGAGATGAGAGTTGTGTGCTGGCGTGCTGGCCGAGCATGAGTTGTTTCTCGTTGTGAATGTGAACCATCTACCAAGCACTGGTCACCGTTCCAACACCTTTGATCCTTTACGTACTCTACTTTGACTCCCCAAAATAACGGAAAGCATCATTCCAACTTCTCGTGGGTCCGTCATATACAGTCCATTTTCATCTTCGTCGATCTTGACATCATAGCGTCTCTCTGTGGCTTTGCGTTTGTCGCTGTTCGCATGTCTGGTTGCGTCCGTCTGTGTCACTCAACTTGCTCAAATTCTGGAGGGACTTCCGATACTTCCAGAAGAAGGTGCAGCTCCAGGAACCCGGGTAGATGCGTGCGTTTGGGGGTTCGAGTTGCAGTGCACCACCCTTCATGAGCCTGCAGGGCTACATGATGCAGCTTTGGGATGGAGACGTCATCAACGGATGTGCCAGTCTAGCGTGCTGAAATCTCCATCAATCTTCATAGCCCGGACGACCACCGACACTTCAGCGAACACCCGCTTTGCTGCGTCGCTGGCTTGATTCCAAACAAGTGGAGGCCGGAGCGAGCGGGACGAGTCTCAGGATCGACGTGACTTAGCGCCTGACACCGCCGCGACGGTGGCCACATGCAGGTGGTGTATCTCTGTCGAATGGTCGCAGCACGGCGAAGTACATGAGGCATCTCCTGGAAGGCATGCAACTTTGCAGCGAACATAGTGCCGCTCGGTGCTGCAAGACGTCAGTCTCATGCTCGCCCGCTGACGCCTTCACGCAGCTTCCACAAAGTGCCAATCTGGATGGGCAATATCTCTGTCTCTTGCTGTTGCGAAAAAGTTGACGTAATGCTGGATGCAATCTGCGTCTCAGGGCTCAGCTTGTTGTTCGGGCTTACACTCACTGCGCTGAGATCCGTGTGTCTGGCAAGAAGTACCACTACAAGCTGTATCTCCGGCTGCTCGTCCCAGGTTATCTACAGCACATAGCAGGATTACTGTAGCGCTGTAGCGCTTGGTTTGGGATCGCATGATACTACTGGAAGTATGGCTCTAGCATCTTAGGAACGTTGGCAATCGGCCTGGCAACATGAAGGCCTACGATGCATGCCTGGACAGTGGCCTACAGTCGTGCGATGTCTTGTGCTCGTCGTCTCCCCTCTCAGTGGAACTATGATGCAGGTCGAGCGGTTCAAGGACCTGTTGAAACGATTCCCCGAGCGAATCATCATGCGAGCACTGCCCTGAGACACCGGGAGATCAGAGACAGCTAATCCAGTTTTTTCCCGAAAGCATTGCCAAGGCTTTTTCCGTGGAGGTGGTTGGGATGGCATGATGGGATGATGTTGATATGATGATGATGTCTGTTAGATTGGCGTGACGTTGGTTGCCATGGGTTGGTTGGTTCGTTTAAAACATAGCCTACGTCAACTCACGCTAATCTAAGCCAATCCAAGTAAATCGAAGTTAATCGAAATTTTGCCGAATTAACTCGAATTTGTTCCAGGTTATCCTGCATAAATCGTGTTCAGGCCTCGAAATGCCAACCCTCTCGATTTATGCTGTGTCTCTGCATCCTCCGGTACGCGCGATCCATTGTACATTCCAATACATGGGCCGCATGCCGGTCTCGAAATGACAACCGTCTCGGTGGACGCGGGGGTCCTGGTCCTGTGTGGGTCTCGAAAGGTATCAAGAAGGAATGATGGCTGTCTGTCTGTCGATGGATGGATGGATGGATGGATGGATGGATGGATGGATGCATCAATGGATGGATGGATGGATTGACGGATGGATGATGGCTAGATGTCTGGATGGCTGGCCTGATGGATGGATTGCTGGACTCTGGGACGAAAGTCATGTTTGTTGCTGCTCGCTGCTTTACATGCTATCGGGAAGCCTGTCGGGACACCCGGTCTCTAGTTTGGGATTCTGTGCTCAAGTTCGATGCAATGCATGCGACACAAATGAAAACCGTGCTGTGCGCGGCTGCTGGATATCCAAGAAGTCGGCATCCAAAGAGAAAGAGGTGACAGCTTCATGTTGCGCATTGGTGCAAGAGCTCCAGCCCTTGAGGCTGTATGGGGCATGATGAAGAAAACACCTGCGAACAGGCGAATTTTCAAGGCGAGAGAGTTTGCTATGCTGGTCTTGCGCGATTTGAGGCGCTTCACTCTGTTACCATTGCTGCCAGGAGCGGCTTAAGCTTTTTGCCGGGCCCAACCACCTCTACTACAACAAGGTGAGGGACCCAATGTGCCCTGTTGCATCCCTCCGTCTCTGCCGAGCTGGGCAGCAGAGGATCCCGTGGAGTATCCCATGCACAAGATCAAGGTGACCCACTCAGCACAAAGCGGAGTCTAAGTCTAAGGTTCTTCAAAACTGGGTTTGGGCCGTGGAGACGAAGAGGTGAAAAAGGGATGAGATGAGTTCCGCCTCTGCGTTTCCTGGAGGACTGCACGCACACCGCCAACCTGCGGTACCGCGATCGCACGATGCAGTACCTGAAGAACCAGAAGCCAAGGCTGGGATGACAGCTCTACCTGCTCTTGGCTCTTGCTCATTGGCTTTTCTTTGCTGCTGTCCTCTTTTTTGACTTCCCCTCTCTTGTTCATTTATCGGCGTCTCATCCCTTTCGCCTAGTTTTCTGACTTTCATGCTTCTCTTCTGCCCCTGCGTTTGCTCTCGCTCTCTGTCTCGCTCTGTCTGCTTTGCCTCACCGCCTGCCTTCCTTTCTCTCTCTGTCTCCCTCGCCTCTCTCCCTCCCTTTTTTCTCTCTTGATTTCTTGCTCTCCCTCTTTCCGCCCCCCCCCTCTGTCTCTCGCTTCTCTTCAGTTTGGGTTAGAAGGCGTTAGTGCAATTTCACTCCCCTACACTTTCCACTCTCTCCTCTTCTTTCCTTCTGTGTCGCTCTTTTTCCCTCTCTCTCCCTCTCTGCCTCTGTGCACCTTTGCCTCATCGTCCTCCCGTCTCGCACTCCATTTACTGCTCCACTACAATGACTACAGCCTCAGCGAAGCACGGTGCATACCTCTCGCATAGCTTTGCAGGTCAACTTGACTTGTTTATGTCTCCACCTGATCCCTGAAGAACCAGACTCGCCAAGGGACGAAGTGGTGCTCCAGTACAAGCAAGCCAGAGTTGATAGGACCAGGTACCGTCCCCAGCATCTGTGTGCCAGGGCATCAGCTTCATCATTGTATGCAAACCCCGCTGAAGCCCACTGTTGAGCCGTGAGAACACTTTGTGCAAGTAACGGCTGTGCCGCAGTGGATCGCAGATACTCGTAACAACTACACGACTCGATGCCTGGGGCGGAGCTATCGGACGGCGATTGCTCAGGTTGAAGCAGTATCGCACCTTCTTGTCGAAGCAGCTCTCAAGACTCGGAGAAGAGGCCGAGTGACAGACACGCATTTGATTTAGCGTGGCACTTCTGGGAGAAGGCCGCGAAGGACATGGACATGGAAGAGTTTGTGGCGAAGGCTACGGAGAACGAGGACATGCCAGCGAGTCGAGCTTCATTTCGCTGCAACTGTAAAGCTTGAGCGTGACCGCGTGCCTGCATAGTCAAACCTGAGCACTTTGCTTGATCCGACTGCGCGATGTTGTCAGTACGACCGCGTCTGGGAAGAGACGGAGGGTGATGAGCCTAAGAAGAAGAAGGAGAACCTGTTTTACGGTGGGCGGCCCCAGCGGTCGGAAGACGGGTAGAGGTTTTGCCGACTGTGAGCATCCGTCCTCTGCAGAAACCTGGCTGCCAAAGCAGAAGTACTCCGACAATCGGAATCGGCGAAAAGGATCCTCTGCTGCAAAAAACATTTCGCTGTTCTATGCTACCGTGTCCGCAAGGACCGTAGCACAGCCAAGGAGTTACACATATTCCTCCTGTTCAAGTGTGGAAAGAGCCCAAGATGGAGGAAGGAAAGCCGCTGCCCCGGGGTTGGCCGCACATTCATGTTAATGTTGGTAGAGTTTTACCAGACGGACTCTCCAAGGTGAGAAGCTGGTGGCATTTCTCCAATGATTTGCAGCCAGCGGTGACAAAGAGCTGTTCGAACCGACACCCCTCGCTTACTTGTCAGGGAATACTCCACACAGTCGGAACATGAACTCTACAGTTACAAGCGGAACAAGATGTCTGCCCCGGGCTCCGGAGTGTTCGCCAGTTCATGTCCTCCTCTGCCCACCAAAGCCCGCCTAGCCCGCCTACCTTGGGTGTGCACCCCTCGTCTACTAATCGGCATCTCGGCATCTCTCCTCGCCAGCCCCGTCCTGCTCTTCATTTGCGCAGTTGACCACGTGTGCATTTGAGCCCCTTCGCATGTTCAGGACGACTTACTTGCAGTTTCTGCTGGTGTTGTCTCCGCAACTCAAAAAATTGTCTCCGCTTGTCAGATTATCATTCCGTCAGATACCCTGGCAGCCTCGAGGGATTTCTCAGTTCCCGCCTTGTGTGCTGGTGACTTCGCTGGCTTCGTCGACGAGCATGCTGACCTGCTATCCACATGCAGCATGCGCAGTGAGCAGGCTGGGCAGCAACCAAGCTACCGACCTAGTCGTTCTGAGATGCATTACACCCAGTTATGGAAGGCCTGTTGTCCAGAAACCATCCTGAACACGCCGAGTTCGAAAAGCTCGGCTATTGAGTGTAGCCCACTGTGACCTGGCTCAAGACTCGGCAAACGTACGAACGCCATGAGCTGAAGACCCAAGTCATGTTGTGCAGAATATGTCAGAATCAGCATGCAAACATCAGAATTTCTTTCAGGTGAAAGCACAGCCTCGTTTCGGTGCTGTTTTGCGTTTGTGAAGCGCACTATGTCTTGCGGATCGGAGTCTAACCGTTCAGAAGCAACTTCGTCCACTAGCTGCAGCCACAGCTAGCTTTTCCGGCGCATGTGGGCAGTTCGGGTTTCACGACTGTCACAAGATCTTGGGCCAGCAGGGGAAGACAGTGCAGCTCGGTGGCAGCGTGCCGTATTCTAGTGGATGTAGTGTTGAATGCTCTGCGTGTGCTGCAGCATTTGTTTGAGGCCAAAGAGTGCTGGGATCAAATATTTGCGCAACTTGATGCTGCAAAACAGGTGGGAACAGTCACCTGGTCGTGCGGCCGTCGTATGCGCTCGTCAAAGCATCGTCGGACCGTTCAGGCTGAGGTGGATCCGGTTGGCAGGCTGCGAGCCTCAAGGAGAGAAGTGCACTGCATCGTGTGACCGGTGATTTGCTACGCTGCTGAGCTTCGAAGGGCCGCAGATGCAAAGAGCGGCAGGTGAGGAGTTCGCAACCAAATAGAAACTCATTGGGGACCGTCAGACATCACTGCAGGCCGCAGACGGCAGAGGCGTCAGAGACACCCAGAAAGACGCTCGAAGTGCAAAGCTTGCTGTTGGAGGGGCTCGACTTAACCATTAGCTGTGTGGCGTAGCATCCCACATTGTGCTGTCGGCATCAGCCTGTGCAAAAAGCAGGATCTCATTTGGCTTATTTGGCGCTCGGGGATCGCGATATGGGCCAAGAAGTCGTATGTTGGGCATTGTGGTACACCTCTGCATTCGGTGACCCTGAAATCAATAATACGCTCTGCACACATCTTCTCACTAGCGCGTGGTTGGGATATGTGGAACAATCCACTAAGTTAAGTCATGAAGTGCTAGGTCCAAGCCGCCTGGTTTGGCGAGACCGCAGACTTCCAGGTGCTGGGGCAATATCCCGCGTTAGTCTTGCTTGCCGACAAAATCTGCAGGAATCGTCGCCAGCGCCCTCAGGAGGCAGGGAGGAAAGGAGCTTTACGCAAGGACATCTCGGCACTCAAGTGGGGCACAGGCAAACAGATACCGGCCAAAGAGTGAAAAGGCCGGCTGGAGTGCCGCACCAGTTTGAGAGTGCAGAAAGTTCGAAAAGCAAGAAGACCTAGAGAATTTTCCATAAATGGTGGAGGTGTTGGAGACCGGATTTAGACTCGCGGTCGGCCAGCTGCTCAGCTGCTTGACCAGACTAGCCAGACTAGGCTTCTTCTCCTTGAGCGATACTAGGACAGTCCGGCCTTTTCGATCCAAGCAGCGGGATGCCTTGCCTATTTGCCAAAGGGTTTTTTCATCTCGAGTTTGGTCCGAGCCACTCTCGTGCCAGGGTTCTTCACCCGAAGAACTTTGGCACCTGGGACAAGCTGCCGGCTCAGCGCAGCCCAGAGCATCTGAAAACAAAGCGAGCAGTTTCCAATCAGGAACCGGTGTCATCTTCCCGAGCGTCTTTGGCCTTGCCAAGGTCGACAGCGGAGACTGCACACCGAGCCATAGGAAGCTTCTTTCCAGCTGAGGTGCCATTGGAACCCTATATGATGTTCAGCGAGCTCTCCTCATTTTGGGGTCACAACTCACAACATGCGACAGCCGGATGTTTGTACAGTGCAGCACGAGTATGGTCTCGGGACAGAGGAAGAGACAAAGTCGACTGGAGACGAGGGATGCCCAGAGGCGGGGGCGACTTTGCTTCGTGAGCGCGAAGCAGCCCACTTTGAAGTGAGTCCGCTTTGCAGGTCGCGACTTTGGCATGGCCTGGGGCCGTCGTTTGTTGCAAAGGGCTCTGAGATTCACCTGTGCCTGTCACATTCACAAGGCCCTAGCTGATGTCGGCACGGGCACAGCTGCTGAGGCGTTTGTCGCGGAGACCTTACTTTCAAAGGTGATCTTGCATTAAGCTCGCATCTGATTTTGTCTGAGGCCAAGTATGTCCGCAAGCAGCGTGCCACGGTGAAGGTAGATGTGGCAACTAATTGCAGACGGACTACGTTCAAGCATAGACTGGTCGATGTACACTCAAGGTGCAGACAGCTGATGTGCGTTCGGATGTCGGCCGCGCGATGATGCATAGATTTGTGTGTTTGACGTTTTTCTTGTCGTTGGACAGCGTGCACGGAGACCACGCGGCGATGGAAGGAACACGAAAAGGCCCTATTCGTACACAGAAAGCTAGGGAGAGGGGGCGAGTTGAGCAGATGGCGGGGTGCGTGAGCGGAGAAAAGTGATTGGCTGGGGCATCGTGTGTTGCCATTTTCGCATTGCGGTCGGCAGCATGCATCGACCACAGTGAACTCATCAGGTGGTTGTGGCAGCGATCTTCTGCGTGGACAACCGCCCTCACTCCCATCCCTCTCTCCAGTGCATGTAGCCGGCTGATCCCGAGCTGCTTTGTGCTTGGAGCGCTCGATCTCGTATGTGGGTCGGCCTGGCCACTTGGGGTCCAGTGCGACCACTGAAAACCAGTGAAACCAGTGAGCATGTGTTGAGTGCTTCTCGGTTCTGTCGGATCGAGCGTACGACACTTCGTGTGCAGTTTTATCCGGTTTGCTTTATCATGGGTCAGAGGGAAATGAGAGGATGGAATCGATGCTTGCAGGCTGCCGGCCCCGACCAAGAAGCAGACATCGCGGCTGTGGCACACGATGACAGCATCAGTCTTGGAATCAGGCGAAACTTCCCCATGACCAAAGACCTCGGGAACTGAGGTTTGTATCAGGGCCGGCGCACTACTGTCCGATGGTTGGGTGGGTGCCCGGTGCATCTTGAGTTCGGGGCGTAGCCACTGCAGTACTGTCGATGGCAAAGCCACTTCAGCCAAGCAACATGCTAAACAAATGCGATTGTACATGCAGTTTCTGGGTCCGTGTGAACGGTAAAATCTTGTTCTCGTCACAGCCACGCACTTTGCTTGAAGCTTCAGCAGAGCAAGCCGAATTTGATAGCAAGGCCAATCCGAGCGAGGCCTTATTGTAGGAGCTTTCGTTCCTTGAAGGAACCTCTCCGCCACACCCCTGGTAAGCAAGCTGGAAAAGTGCACGGACCGGGCTCAGTTTCAGGTCATCAGCAGCAGAAGAAAATGCATCTCCTGATCCTGCATTTATGCTGACAGCATACAGGCCAAGCTGTCCTGCCATGTTGCCAGATATCTCCGCGGAGTCAGAACTGGGTGGACTGCTGCATCAGCACTTGAGTGAGTTGGACAAGAGCCTTGCAACTCTAACTAGATCCTGTGGCGGGGATGAGAGCGTTGAGCCACATGTGTCCGCCACGTTGAAGACCGTGTCGCCGTCGTGGAGCTCCGATGTTCTGGAGTGTCTTCCGCCACCACCCTCACCACCTCCTCGCCAGCCAAAGATATCAGCAATCAACGTGAATGCTGATGACGCTGGCTTTTCAGATGTACCTGTGAGAAGTGGAATGGAAATCGTTGCAGACGACATGGAGCCTTCGCAGAGTGTGCGAGATGCGCGATCGGCTCATGCTCCGGGAGTTCTGGAAACTTTGCTTCAGGGCATCGAGGCCAAAAAGCTCAGCACTGACGAGGCACTAAACAGCCTCGAGAGAGCATGTCGGACGGAAGTGCTTCCGTTGGAACAAAGCCAGGAAGAAGGCCCAGCACCACCCGCGCTTAAAAGCTCTTCGCATTGTCGCCAGTGCGGAGTTCTGGGTTTGCAAGTCCGCGCTTTGTGCCAGTCTTTGGCTGGCCTCGCAGCACGCACAATCCAATGGGGGTCACATCTCTCACACAGACGTCAGTTGGATTTGGTAGATTTGGTTCTCATGTACCTCCGACCTCTGGAGCACCTTGACAAACAGTTGGAAGCTCTGTGTGAAGAGCTCGCTGAGCGCAACCTGCAGCTCGCCGGAGAGCCCGCTCTCGCACAAGCCCCGGTCGCCTCCACGACCCTACCGGAGGCCAAGCCAATTCTCACATTGACATGCGCAATTCTGCACGATCTGAAGGCTGCCATTGAGCATCTTGAAGACTGGCGAGCAGAAGCAGGCACAGCCACAGTTGCCAGGATGTGGCTATTCCGGCTCACGAGTACTTGTAGGAGGACGTTCTTGTTAGTGATCAATGGAGGTGACAGTCCGCTGGCAACGGTACTCAGATCTCCGCAGGTGGATGCACAGATGCATGTTGCGAAGAACAGTAGCTGTCTGCAAATTTGACAACACTTCCCTTGACCAGTTCTTGGCAATGAACCTGTCGGTGTTGCGCTCGGATCAGACACTCTGTTGCGAAGTCATGAGGTGAGGCCTTTGCACGGGTTGACACTTGGATGTGAGGTGGATGCACTCAGACCGCAAGCATCCACCGACAAAGACCGCCAGGGCACGACCAGGATCCCGGAAGTTGTCCACGAGCAGCATCTGCAGGTTTCTGACAAGGCTTCGTCGCAGCGGACGGCGGCCAAAGCGGGCAGCCTGTCCTTCTCGAGCCGCCGAGCCTTTGTTGCGTGCGCAGAGTTTATGTAGCTGCAATGATTGCAATCTGATTGCAATGCGATGCATTGGCCGAGGAAGCCTTCCTCAAAGTGGGAAGGCGGTCTTCGCTCAGGAGTCTGGTCGGCGCCTGCAGATGCAAGGCCACCAGGTCCAAGGGTCCAAGCCTTGCGAGGAACCACGTCAAAGCGCGGCTCGAGGATTCGCGTGGAGAGAGCGCTCGGACTCTGTCGAGCTGACACTTTTCTGCACAGAGAGCCAAAGCTAGGTTTACGAAGGCTGGGTATTCAGTTCTTGTAGATACTTGGGTATCCTACCACCAGGCATTACCAGGTGCTTCCATTTTTCTGATTCCCAGCCACTGCGAAGGGCGTTCTGAGTCTCCGCTTACTGAAGTTGCCCTGTGCAGCTTTTTTGCACCCTTTGCTTTCGTAGCATTGTCACAGCATGTAGTGTTGCTATCCACAGGAGTGGTGTCTTTGTTGTGGACCGGCCTGCGAGCTTACAGCACAGTGCAGCATGTGGAGACCACCGGTGAGACAACTGGACTCAGGAACGAGGCATGTCGCAGTGGAGTGGCTGACAGTGGCAGCATTCTCGGGTTGAGGCCAGCATCACTGCAGCACCGAAGCAATATCGGCGAACAGTCGAAAAGTGCTGGCACGGGGGTTTGTAAGGGCGGCAGCTAAACTGTGACTTGCCTCAGCCGGCTCAGAGTTGGAACCAAGTCTATAGCGAAGTCTGAGTCTTGTGCTTTTTATGCACTTTGACGGCAGAGTCGCGACACTTGCTTGTTGTGTTTTCTCCAGTTCAGAGGAAGCTGAGTGACAACTCCGAGAAACGTCAGACATCCGAGTTGCGTTGCCTGCAGCAGTGGCAGCATGGCACTGGGAGCCACATGCTCCTCTACACTTCCTGCCTAAATCGCGACTTGCGCTCGGCTGTCAAGTATGGCCTTCGGTTCAGGCTGTTTGGATGCAAGCGTGTGCGCATATTTCCACGCTGACCCGTGTGAGTCCGTGGAGGCTACCTAGGGGATTGCGGCCGGTAGCGCTTGGGGTAGGCGCAAGCGCAGGGCCCCAAGGGCCAAGTGAAGGCATGCTGCGAAGCCGCTCTTCCAGCCTCTGAGGCTTTCGCCTTCAAGAAGGACCCAGCCTTGAAGTTGAGCGGTCTGAGCTTAATCTGGTCTGGCACTGGGGTTGCTGTCACTGGCAGAAGGTAGCTAGATCGAACCCACGCTGATTTGTTATCGAGACTTCGGCTAAGCCGAAGGTTGTTCAAAAAAATGCCTTTTCGGGGCCACGAGGCATTCTGTGTTGATTTATGACAAATTTCGACTCATGATTCATGATGGCAACCAAACAGTGATGTAACCCCTCAGCGGCAGATGAACTGGACAAATAATCATTGAGAACCGTCATGTTACTGTCTTAGAGGCGATTTTGCTACTGCTACTGCCTGCTGCTGCTGTGGCTAACTGGTCTGACTGGTGTTCCCTTATTTCATTCTATGCGTCAGTACGAATGTCGCTTGCATGCGGGAGGATACTCGATCAGATTGTCAGAGCCTTCTTGTCGAGGCGCGGCACTCTGTCATGTCTCGGGCGCTGTGTGATGTTTCTGTATTTGTCTGCAATCGAGGGCTCATCTGCTGCTGGTCGTGGAAATGGCAAGATCTCAGCGATCCGGTGGTTGCACCCAGAACTTTGGCAGATGCAGAACTACGTGTCATTCCTGTCTGATCGCGCCCCTTCAGGCCGCCTCGAACGCGGCTGTCTAGATTCTGGCATTCTGTGAAGGCCAGGTGCAGAACATCCATCGTGGACACGAGTGCTCCGGACAGGTCATGCTGCGCTGCCTGGAAGTAGTCCTTCGTGCTGTTCCATTGGCGGCACTGGCGCAGAGTCCTTGGATCCAACCTGAAAAGCTCAGGAATCTTCAGGATTTATGGTCATTTAGTGCGGTCGACACTTGCGACTAAAGTCACGCTCTCTCTCCGGGAATGCAAGGCTCACCATTGCGGCTGCATTGCCTTCGCAGCGCTCGAAATTTCGAAAATACTGGCACGGCCGCGCTATTTGGTGTCTCGGGCTCGACGTCCTCTAGACCCCTGGGGGGGACCTAGAGGCTTCCGTCCTGCCTTCAGCTTCGTGGTGGTGTCGACGGAAGGGTCGGAGACGCGTTTTTTTTTCTCCAAGCGAGCGGCCTGTGCCTAAAGCCGTTGGATCCGTGATATTTTGGTGGTCGAGACGCTTCTTCGGTGCTGCTTGAGCGGAACAAAACTTTGGGCAACCTACCAAACAGAGACCAGAGCCTAGAGCATGGCAGCGCACGGACTAGTGGGAGCACCTGCCCCAAAAGTCTAGTCGGGACCGGCACCTCGCCCCCCAACCTTTTGCCCGTAGGTCCTGCTACTTCGCCTTGGTCTAGTGCAGCTAGACGGTTTGCAAAGGCTTGGAGTAGACACTTTCTGAGGCCGTGGTGTTGGCTGTCCTGGCAGTGGGGTGGTGAGAGGCCGGTTTGCTTACGCAGCGGTTCGAGGTTTCTTTGTCCGACGCTTGCATGCCCTCCCACAGTTCCAGCCTCGGCTGTCCCCCAGCTGGGCAGAGGTTGACTTGCCAGCTGAGGTGGTCTGTCTCCAAAGTTAGGTGTTGATTGGCCATACAACGGCAAAGTACATGTCGTGGTGTGTTGGTAGATGCAGCGGTTCCATGTGATCAAGCGATTTTGTTGCGTCTTTTTGCTCTCGGTGTTCTGCTTCATGGTCGTCTGCTCGATTGGTCCTCTGGCCCTCGTCCACTGGTCTCGCAGTCCCTGGTCTTCCTGCCCGGTATCTTCATGTGGATAGAAAGACTATGTTACGTCCGCTGTAGGGTACTTTATGTTTACGGCCTAAAGTTCCTAAAGGTGGTGTACAGACACACACAGTATTGCATCTTGGCATAAACTGAACAACATGTTTGTTGTGTGCAGACATAATAAGTTACTTGTAGACCAGAGTTCTAACATCATAGATACACGTACACCTCTGTGTATGTGTGCATAAATAGATTTCCATATGTTGCAATGTGTTTCTTACTCGTACATATCTTTCTGCTACATATTGTTTAACTTTCGCATTGTGTATATATATATATGTATATACATACATGTGTTGAGTCTGGCAGGCTTGGGTGCACATGCATCATTCTAAGCTTGTGGCTGGCTGCCATTTTGATTCAAGTGTGATCCAAAACGGCGGGCAGCTGTTCTTTGGGTCTTTGCGGGGAGTTGACCCCCTTTGTTTTCTTGCAGGGAGTGACCCTGTCATCGGGAGGGACCCGCTATGCAATATGCTATTGAGCGGCTGGCTGTCCACACTGAGGAGCAGTTGCTGCACCCGGCCGCGCTCTTGGAGTTCCGTGCAAGGTTGCGCGCCTTGGTCGAGGCTGGTGAGGCGCATGAGGCTGCGCTTCTCTGGGGCTCCGTCTTGGAGGTGCAGCATTATCCTCCACCTCCGCCAGGATTGCTTGAAGGCCTGTCGCCGGGGGTGCCAGCAATCCGAGCTATTCCGTGTGTCCAGGAGGACTGCGCCCGCTGCAGTGGAGGCCGCGGTGGGTTTCGTTTCCCCTTCATTGGGAGTTATGCCAGGCGCTCTATGTTGGTGCCCGTTGGTGTGCCGCCGGCTCAAGCCTGGAACCATTATCACCATGGCGGCGAGGAACGGTTCTCTGTGGAGGAGGTCCGGGCGCCTGTGGCCAACCGACATGCTCCCCGACCATGCGGACCGCTTGTTGCGGCGAGTTCGGGAGCAAGGGCACCCTCCGGAACGACCCCTGCCCAGCTGTGGATGGTTTGGCGCGAATGGCATCAGGGGGAGATTATCTGGCGAGAACCCGCCTATTTCCCGGTTCCTTCTTGAGAGGAAGGCCGCCGCGATCGCCGTGCCGGGCTCATCGGGCACTTTGGCTTCTCCCGGAGCCGTGGAGGCGGGTTTGGGCATGTTGCCAGCTCCGTGCCGGAGTTGCGGGGTTCCGTCAGTCCTCGAGTGCAGAAGATGCCAGGCACCTGTTTGCTCCACCTGCCTTTCCCGCTGCCTCTGCTCATGCTATGGATCGAGAGCAGGCATGGGGCCATCGACGCCCCACCGGGCTCAGCTGCGGAGACAGTGGTAGACCGTCTAGCGGCTCAGGCTGTGCTTTCCTTCCGTGAGAGACACGGACTGGTAGCGGACGCGGACGTCGCCTACGCGTTTTCTTCTTGAAAGGCGCAGAACGCAGGGCATGCCGTAGCCTCTGGTCCGAGGTTTCTCACGACTTGGAGGACGACGCCATCCTCGGCCTGGTGGACCGGGCGGTTGCAGCTGGCAAGTCGGATCAGCCTAGTGGCGTTAAGGCGGTGCGGCTGAGTCATCTCGTTCGCAGGCCTGTTGATGAGAGAGCGGGTCGCAGCCGCAAGCGCGAGTCACCGGCGGTGACGGGCGTCGCGGCCACCGAGCTCTGTGACTTCCTCGTGGATCCTGGGGCCCGCCAGCCTGGAGATCTGCGTGGTGAGCGTCGTCAAGAGTGGGTTTCCTTCCTCAAGGTGCTAGCGGCGAACAAGGTGGCAGCGGCGGAACCCGCTACAGTGGCCCGTACCTTGCGCACCCTGCGTGAACTCTCCCAGTGGCAGGTTATCCGGGGTCGGTCGGGCGGCCTCGGTGACATCGATTCCATCAACCTTTTTGCCTTCCTTCGGGATGGCACGCAAGCCCCAGCACGTGCCTTGGCGGGGCTCCGATGGTTTGTCAAGCTGGCAGGCCTTGGCTGGGATTTGAGTGACTTGCGGCCGACGCCCAAGGCGGGGAGGGAGGGACCCTCGCAGGCTGCTGTCGCCGAGCCTGGCATGGTGAAGGAGCTCGAGCACCGCATTGTCAGCTCTACCACTCGGGCGATGCGAGATGGTCATGCCTCTTGGCCGATTGGTTGATCATGGCCCCGGCCATCGGCCACCACTTCCCCGGAGGCCTAGGCTGCCAGTGGCCGAGTCCCCCGCTAGGCTAAAGTCTTTGGCTCGTCGGGCAGCGGCGGCTGGTGTGGCCGCGCCGGAGCCCGAGCGACGGGTCAGAGCCTAGGGACAGGCCACGGCAGGCGGAGGCCCAGGCAGCGTCTTCCTCTTCCTCTGAGCTTCGTCCGCTTCGCCAGGGCGAGTGCGTAATCGGCCGCGGAAAGGAAGAAGCGGGCCTACGATGCCGATGAGGAGCGCTATGACCAGTTGGCCCGCGAAGCTCCCAAGCGCGGTGATAGGCAGGCCCTCCAGACTCCGACAGAAATCTGGAGGAGCCACGCAGGCGGCCGTTTCACGGAGGCCAATAAAGACCTCTTCCCCAAGGTGGCTTTGCAAATTACAGCGATGGCGCAGCATCCGCTGTCGCGTGGTGGCGTGATCCTCCCAGGTGTGGTCCACTGGCAATGGCATATTACCTCTGGAGGACACCGCGAACGCGATTTTCAAGCTTTGTGGCCGCTTGTGAAACATACCTTGTGGGAGGGCCAGCATGTGCTGGCCCACTGCATGGCCGGCCGACACCGCGTTGCTTCGGCCGGCGTCGTCCTGCGCTCCATCCTCAGCGGAGAAAGTTTGGAGGCCAGTGAGAGGTACATCCAGGCGCGGCGAGACATCGAGCTTTGGCAAATCCGGAACAAGAACAAGGACTTGGCCGAGTGGATGTTGAGGGTAGTCCGTGTGACCAAATTGGGCACGGCGCCTCCACTCCCGGTGGCTTACATCGCAACACAGAATTTCTTGCCTCGAAACGGCGGGGGGAGTGACCCTTTGCCAGCATAAGAATGCCAAGGGTGCCCGGAAGCTGTCATCCCCTATGCGGACCTCGGACAAGTTCGAGGCCTTTGCGTGGGTCAGACCGTGGGCTATCCGCGCATCGGCGGGACAGTCAGTCTCTGTGAACACTGTCATGGAACTTGACCCCTCAAAGTTCGCACTGTCGGCATCAATGACACTCTTGGGTCAGATTCAAGGTGCCTATCATGCCACCGAGATCTACAACCTGAACGCCATCGTCACCGAAGGCCTCAAGACCGGCAGCGACATGATTGATCAAGGGAGAACTTCAGGAAGATTGCACAGCTACTTCGGAATCTTTCCTCCATGGGATTCAAGGAACAAGCTTACTCGTTGCAGGTCGCGGACTGATCAAAGGACACCACTGGTGACTTTGTTCGTCCCGATTGTTGATTTGGTCAGAGAAGGAGGACGAGTGACAGAAAATGGAGCAGTCATTTGTGAAAGAACAGTTCCATTTCACATGGTGAAAGAAATGTGGCTATGCATACCAGGCAGTGCTCCATGCGGAAAGTTCGAAGAGATTGAAAAGCTTCTCGACTACGAGCTGGAAGATGAGATTTGCACGGAAATTGACAAGCCACTTCCTCCTGCAGCCGACGAAATGCATTGCCATCGCACCTTGGAGAGAATCTTGGAGTTGCTTTGTGAGCTTCCGAATGGTCCGCATGATGGAACAAAAGCAGGGATCATCTCTCAACTCTCCGAGTATTTTGGAGTGGATTGGTCACAGACCGACTGGAGTCGGTACAACGCGCTCTACGATGACCGCGGTGGAATTTGCCATTCTACACTCACCTCCGCCGACTGAAGCGAGAACATGGAGAGACCGAAATCTCAGATTCCGTATCGGCCCATGGTGCTTGAAGAGTACACCTTCTTGTTTGGCAAGATGTACGTTCTGTTTTTCCATCTTTATTTCCCGTGGAACATACCAACGTGTCGAAACCAGTGCCGACGCTCCAATGGACATTCCTCATGAAGCCATCGCACGTGCTCGTGAAGCGGCAGCAAACGTGGCTGTCGATGAAGATGAGCCAATGGAGGATGAACCACAACCGGAGGTCGACAATGACAACGACGTCCCCATGGGTGCCGATGATGTGCAGACTATCGCTGAGCCTGAAGGTGAACTGGACCTTGATATGGATATTGAAGAACAAGCACAAGGAGAAGTTGTTGCAGAGCACGCGCAAGAAGTTCAATCTCGCACTCCTGTATTGATGTTTGACACGGAATTCCACATTGATCCACAACAAGCTCATTATCAACAAGGGCTCAGAGTGAACATCTTCCACAATGCGGGAACCAGCCAGCATCACGGACCCACACTGGGACTATGCGAAGTACATGGCCTACATCATCATACACTTGATATACAAGAATTGGCCATCGTACTCCAGATGGCTTGAACTACCGGTACAGGCAGCTCAAGAAGCATTCAACCGAGGACAACGCCACGATTCCTTAGGAAAGTGGGGAATTCTCTCAGAAGTGGATCCGAGAACTGGAGTACCTCGTGAACTCAGTGATGAAGAAGTTCTCCAACATGGCATAGGTCGCGGAGAGCACGATTACCCAACAGGTGACCATGCACTCGGTCGTTACCGCACGAACCAGGTTCTTTCCACTTTTGTTCGCGGAGCCATACAACTTGGTTATCGACGGCAACATTTCTTGGTCGACAATCACATCCGTGAAGGCACTGAGGTGGATACAAGCATGGTGCATTCAAGCTGCACTGCACTATTGTGCAAACGCGTGGGCAAGATCACTGGATATCGACAGCTCAGCATGCTCTCCCCGCGCAGCCGCCATTCTCCCAGCTACATCTTCAACATCGACCCCTTCGGCATCTGCCAATTGTGGGGACCGAAAGATTGCACTCTACAACTCATCACGATGATGGTCGACCTGTGCATTCCTATCCAGCACAAGTGCACGACCAGGCTGACGAAAGCTCGCTCACGAGGACCAGAAAGCGTCCATCAAGCCAATGCTCTGCAACATCTTCCTGGAGGCAGCTTGCTACCACCTGGAAGAACAAGCATTCTCAACACGCCACTGACGGCAGAGGAAGAGGCTGAGATTGCGCCCAAGGCCAAGCCGAAAGCTTCAAGCAGAGCAACCGCTTCTGATCCCCAAGAGCGCAAACGTCGCAACCAGGAGACCTACCAACAGCCCTTCTCAGGCTCCTGGGATGAAAATCGTGGTGACCGACGGTGGGACCGGGACAGACGCCAATGGTGAATGTCTACCAGTACCTTGTCATCGTCAAAGAGTACACGTACAGATGTGGACATGATTCCAATGCACCACTTTTCGTGCATATGCTTTCTTCGAGATGTGTTTTCCTTCACTTAGGCCAAAGCTAGGGATCGCACTCGACGCTCATCTGTCTCACATCGACATAATTAAGGCTGGTGTTACGCCCTGATTCAACATGCGCCGTTGAGCTTATGTCATGCGTCTCTCTTCCTGGGTGAGTCAAGCCAAAGGCATCACTCATGGGGGGTGTGAAGAGACATCGAAGCATTGTACAATTTCAGTGTGAGCTATGATGACACATGTAGACACTGACTCAGGATGGCTCAGCCGACTGAGTAAGACTGAAGCTTGTGAGAACATAGTTCAACAAGTGGATGTGTATGAAGCTCAAGATATCGGTGCATGGCTCAAGAAACTTGGCTCAAGCCAAGCTAGTGATCTAGCACCTGTTGTCCGCTTTGCTTATCATTGTCAGTGCGTGAAGCCTTCTTGCAACGACTGCAGCGTACTACGTCCGCAGCAGAGAGAAGTGAGGAGCGAGTGGATCTGCAAGGGTTATTCGTCACTACGTTGGAAGCTAACATTCTATCACAACAACAAGCTCATCTGAGGGGAGCAAGGTCATATACAGCAAAAGTGTATACCAAGCCCTCACGCATTTAGTATACGTATGAATATACACGCTTTGCAACGTAGACAAACACAGCCTCTACAGGTCTATACGTCTATATGTATATGTATATGTATATATATATATATACATAGAGGACCTTTACATAGACCAACTTTTCCGACTCTCTACTGCAACTAAGACATTGCCATAATTTCTAGACACCTTGGAGAATGGAGGCGGCAAGGGGCATTCGAACAACAGCTTCGCAGAGTCTGGGGGCAGAACGTTTGGAATCTGCTTGGAGTCCGTAGTTGCTGCAGGGCTTTACAAGGCATTGGGAAGCTTTGGGTAGAAGCAAAATCTCACCAATGGCATCTGTAGCCCTTGATAAATCGCGCTCTCGGTCCTGAACGATGCTCTCCTCGCTGTCCGAAGGATGTGTGTTGGGTGCAGTAGGCACATGCTGCTATGACCGCCAAAACTGCCGGCACACCCGGGAAAAATCGATCTTTTGACGAGAACAACGTTGGACGTAAGCACTTCCTGCAGCTAACATGAGTCACAGAGGAAGCAACTTGGATTCATATTTGAAGGTTTCCAGAGGGTCGCGAGGAGGGCAAGACAATCAATAGCGTTTTCATCAAGCATCTCGGGTGAGATCGCAATCCTCACCATATGTAGTGGAGGCTGAAGTAGAATCTATTACAATGCTTCCAGATTTGGCCATGTGCGCAACTGACTCTGTTCTTGCCATTTCGCAGGCTCATGTGGAGACTGATCTTGGCAGCTCTGCAGGCTGATGCTCGCGGTTCTGCACTTCTGCAGACTGATAGGGCCTCGAAGTGCTCAGGCTGAAGGACCCATAGCAATCAAGTTTGCTCAGTGGGCATCGACCAGACCGGACATTTTGCCTGGACGTGCCGCCGACTCATCCCAAATCTGCACTCAACATCGATAAGTGTTGTTGTGATTTAATGAGCATCGCAGGTCTGCGACAACCTCTCTCCGTTGCAGGTGCCATGCTCAGACGCAATTCCTCTGCTCCTCGTGAGGCTGTTGAATCGTTGCAGGCGAATGTCAAGCCACATAGCTTCAATCAGACGAAGAGGAGACTGCTCGCAGCGGAACGGGCCGGGGCTGTTTCACAGTTAGGTGAGCTGCGAGGATTCTTACAAAGACCTTCGGGCCAACCTGGGAGGGCTCGCTGCAGCTGGCCATGCCCTGAGAGCGTCTTGCAAACAGAGAGCTCTGCAGATCCAGCCAGCCGTGTCAGGACTCAGAGCCCCTGGGCTCAGGCTGCATGGCGCAGGTCTACAAAGGACGCTTAAACGGCCTTGCGCCAGTTGGATCCGCCAGTGACACGTTGCTGACATTGTGGGACTGAAGGTCCCCTCTCGTGCAGAGATGAGAAGGCCAGGGCGGCCCCGGCTAGCAGTGCAGACGCTGTTGAAGATTTCAGTGCCAGGCCATACCTCGGTCCCGTGATGTGGCAGTCAAGGCAGTGGTTGAACGAGTGGGCAAATAAAGGACGGAGTGTTTTCGTTGAATCTTTCGGAAGGTGCTTCATCCAGGTGCTCAGGACTGTCGTGACCGACTGTAAAGCATGCACTGGCAGCCATACCAAAGCAGCGACCACCGTCACTGCTCGTATCTGCAAAGCAGAGAGACCGCCATCTGCAATGGGCTTCAACAATAAGAAAACAGCCAGTGCAGGACAAAGTGGATCTTGATCTGGAGGACCTGCTGGCATGATTCCTCTGCAAGCCGCAAGTCACTCACTGTGCTGGGCCGTTGTTGTGGCCAACTCATCCGCGAAAGACTAAGTCTGCTGGCTGGGCTCAGCAAAGGAACCCATGCAAGTTTACCTAGACGGTCGTAACCTGGCGGGTGTCATGAAACGCGGATGAGAGTGATATTCCTACCGTATTCTGCTAGAAGCTAGAGACTTCAGCACTCGTTAGATTATATCATTATCATTATTGGCTTCACATCATGCTTCGGCTTCCCGATGTCGCAGCCTAACCTCGACAGGCGGGTGTCCGCCGTGAGCAAGAGATGCATGGAAAGTTTGAGGGAGTCAGGGAAAGTTACTACTCAATGCTTTAGAATGTGCCATGCCACGTAGCTTGGGCATCGGCATCTAATTTCGTCATCTCGACATAAGGTGTGTGAGACTGTTTGACTCAATCTGCACATGATTTTTCGCTGGCAGTTACATGCAGGACATGAGGGCATGCGCAGACGTGCACAACAATTCGATAAGTCACCTCCTGCGCATCAGGCTTGGGTCTCGCCTTACCGACCAATTTCAGAGTTGTAATCCTTGACCAAACTCGCCCGAGTTTGATTCCTCTCAGGTCTCGTGTGCAGCTTTGATGCTTTGGCAGCCCCCGCGTGGTGTTTGTCATGCACTGGTCGAACCATGAACACTCGGTAGCATCCCTTTGCCCAAGTTGCATGTTGTTACAAGCCCGTACTCCCTCAACGCAGAAGTGGCCGCTTTGGCCTGCTCCTGTCCAATTGTGATAAAGCGGAGTTCGTTAGTCTGATCTGCTGTCGTTCGGTGGTCTCCGGACTCCGACCCTGTGAAGACTCCCAGACCCGTTCGAGAATATACTGTTCGTGCGAACATTGCAGGGTTGGGGGGTTGGTGCGTGCAAGATTTGTCAAGTTGGCCCGTCCCTCGAAGCTGATCCCGAAACATGGAGAGCACACCACACACGTCGTTTTGCGGGAAGGGTTGTATCCTGTGACATTCAGTCGTTGGTTCTCTGTTTGATGCAGGTTCTCGGGTTTCTCGAGGTCTTCTGTGTCCTTCTGTGCATGCCAGTGCTTGAAACAGTCTGCTTTGACGAGAACGCTCGTTGCATGCGATTCCTCTGAAGCCTCACCCGCCCAGACGATCCCAGACATACAGAGCAACGGACGGCCCGTTGGAGTGGGCCGCTCGAAACAGCTCTGTGGCTCCGGTGCCCGTTCGTTCGGACCATACCACAACCAGGTCTAGCAGTTTTGAGGCCAAGACAAGACTGCAGTCTCTGTTCGACAAGGTTTCAATTTGTCAACCTGTGCATCCAGATGCTGGCACATTGTCATGAGTCGTGGCGTGCAGCAGAACAGCAGACTATACTAAGACTGGGGTTCTAGCAGAAAGCAGCCCTTGGCAGAGATGGAGCAGTGTGGCATCCTGATGTGACAGGCAGCTTTTCGCCAGAACTCAGTTTGTCTGGGAAGCAAAAACTGCGGCTATTGTGCCGGATCGATTTTTCAGCCATTCCCTGCCGCAACCTTGGAGGCCATGGGAAACTGCCATTGTCAAGTCGGGCTCTTGGCAATCTGTCAAGACGACTAGCTGGAAGAAGGGACAAGAGCGGTGCTATCCGAATTTGTTATCTGAGGAGAAAGATCTTGTGGTACAACGCGAGGCAACCGCGCGGCCTCTTCCCCGAATTGGCAGCTAGGGGACCGCGACTCAGGCCTTCGAGCCCGAGCCGGAGACCGTCGCAGACGATCCAGATTATCCGGAGGTCAGAAGAAGAAACGCCTTTTTTGTTTCCAGTTCACGCTTGTCATGGAGGCTTTATCGCCACTGTCAAAGACAAAGGCAACTGCCGGGGAAACCCAGATATCTCAACCAGCAGCCATGGATGCTTTCATGCTGACTCCTAGGTGGCTGATGACTTCTTGCAGAACAAAGATGATGGCGGAGATGCAAACGAAGATGAGGCAGTGCAAAGCTTTCATCGCTGCTGTGGCCTTGCCCGAAGCTCTTACATCATCTTGGGGTCAAGGACAGGGTCAACAACAGCCCGGCTTTAAGTGTTTTTGGTGGTATGCCTGCATCCTCTGCAGGTCTTCTTCCTGGCAGCCCCAACCTGAAAAGCTCTTGGAGCCATGCAGTCTTTCCACCCTCAACCAAATCACGTACCAGGAGCAGATACACTTTACAAAGCCTCTGCCATCACCAAGTGCTTCAACCATCTCTTCAACTCAACAAGCCTTCATTTGAGCTTGTTTGCTGGGCCACAGCATTCTCTCACCTCAGCCTGCGGGCAGGCGAGCGACGCTGGCATGTCTGGCACCAGCGAAATGAGTGATGTCGCAGAAGATCCTGATATGGGGGACGATGCGTACAGCGCTGTGTCAAGTGGTGCCTGAGATTTCTGACGGCTCTCCTGCATCGTGTGTGGGAGATTGAGATCTGCCGTCTTAGGTGCCAGCTCAGCTGTTAGTCCAAAGTCGGAAGGGACTATCAGCCATGGACTTTGAATGCTTCTGTAGTTGATGTCAGGCAGTTCCACGGAGTATCAGTTTCTCCGTGCCCAGTTACACAAGTCGATGTTCTTGAGGTCGCAAGTCACATCGGAAAGGGTTGAAGAAGCTCAAGATGACAGACACGAGACTGGCCTCAAGCAGACATTTTCTCATCTGCGACTCGCGGGGGACGTGCCTGCAGTCGTGCTCAGGATGGGTTTTGTTCCCTCTGCTGCCTTGCTCGTGGTGCCCGACAACCGAGGCCGATAGAGCACAGGCATAAATCGGCGGAAACACATGCTTGTACCTGCTGGTCTGTTTTTTGATATGACGCCGCTTCCCTGATTCGTCACGGCACTCATGGTTGCGGTTGGGCTTGATCTGGGCCAGGCCAGTTGGCCGATAACTACGACGTGGAGCCCGTCGCACTGGGCAAGGGTGGCTTCGCAGTCGGTCGCCAAGGGACTGCGATGTCTGCAGGGTTCGGCCGTGTTCTGCTCGACTAATATGCCACATCGTCCCCTTCCTTTATCACAGTGTTGGCTGGTTCCTCCTTACTCGCTTGGAAGTGTAGACCCGAAACTACTGGAAAACCGCATTACGAATTTGTACGCCTTATGAACAGGAGAGTCACTGCAAAGGAAGCCCTGAGCTTGATTGCAAAACCACCGTGTCTGAGGAAGTGCGCCGCGCTACGGTGCGAGTCACCGGTGCCAAACGGGCAGTGAAGATTATTTCAAAGTCAGCTGCTGGGCAGCATGAGAACAGTACTTCATCTCTTAGTGCATATCTCGAGAGAAGCAGGGCGGAGAACATTCGCACCTCGAGTCCGGACTGATACAGTCCAAGTGTGCTACACCATTCCACTCTGACAGTATTTTGGGATCCTAGACGGTGACATGCCATGACTCGGGGGCTTGGCCTCGCTTGCCTGTAGACACTTCGGGTTCACATGGAAGACCAGGACAAAAACAACCCTGGCCTATTGAAAGCCGAGCATCTTGGCTTTCGTGTTGGTGGTCCAGGGTTGCCGCTGAGCCATTTGACATTGCGCCATGAGCGCTGTCACTGCACAATTGCTCTCACCACTCTGCCAGGATTGAAGTCATGAAAATGCATCTCGGATGGACTTTATTTCCCCATTGGGTCGTCGTCATGCACAGAGGTTGATAACCCCCAGCCACCTGGCGATCGGTGCTCCCCGTGTCAAGTCGGTAGTGGCCCGGCCTGACGGCAAGGATGCGACTCCTGCTGTCTGCAGGGCATCTTCGTGCACTTCCGGAAGCCAATGCAGTGTAAGCCCGGCAATCTGGTGATCTGCGCTCAACCGAGGCTAGACCACCCAAATGTTGTCACTCTTTTCGAGATTTTCGAGGACTCTGACACGCTTTCTCTGGTGACTTTGCAGCGCTGGGTGTTGTGCGTGTCAGTGACAGTTGCAACTTGCGCGCTCGCGCTCTTTCATACAATCTCAGGTTCTGGAGCTTTGCAGTGGTGGTGAGCTGGAAGGCTACGTGCGGAGCTCGGGTGCAGCTCCCGCTTGGCACTCAGCGGCAGTCGGGAAGCCCAGGTGGAGAAGCATGGAAATCTAAAGGAAAGCGAGGCCAAGCATGTCTCATCTGCATGGCACTGGGTGAAGAAAACCTGTGCATGTGCACTGTCTGGCTGCCGCACAATTTCATGATACTGAGTGGCAGTGCTGAGTGGTAGCCAGTGCATACTGCCATCCGAAGGTGCTACTAGGAGTTTTGCGTCCTCCTGCTTCGCACAAGCATGCGGTGCAGGCAGCCCTCGCCACCAAGCATGTCATGTCTGCCGTGCGATATCTGCATGGCTTCCTGGTCATACTTCATTATATCTTCTCTGGCTGAAGAGTGCCGCGGATGTGACAGCTGTGACAGAAAGTTCGCGAATTTCTATCCAAGGCAAGGGCATTATTCACCGGGACATCAAAGCTCCGAATTGCTTGCTGCTGCTCCCAACCGGCCTAGATGCACGACAAGCAGTGAAACTCAGCAACTCAGCATGAGATGCGGGCTTCCTGGGGAGTGGTTGCTAATGTACAGACGTACCTTAACATTTTTCGTCCCCGGCATCTCGATGTGCCCGACCTGTCGCTCAGCCGATTGGCATGACTTTCACTGAACCAGAGCTTGCATGTCTGTGTGTGTGCACGCCTGGACATGGCGACCTTTGAGTGAGACCGCCTTTTTACTGAAGGGGGGCAGTGCATGCCTGACAGCCACTGCCCAACGAAGACAGTGTCAGTGCGTGGTGATATCTGGCCTGATCAGCCGGACGCTTTCCAGTGGCCCCCTGTGGCACTGGAGTAACCAGCTCTAGAGTGAAGCTTCTCTGTCATTCTGTATGGATGCCGCAATCTGTCATCGTCTGGTCCTGTCAGTCGCTCGTCGCAGTCATGCGTGCCGCGCCAATGTGTGTTTCGTTCTGGAAATCCCGACATGGGGCCAGATCGCGGTGGG